TTTCCTTACCGCGGAATATTCCACCTGTCACATACTTCCTTCTTAACTGCTTGCCGGTTCGCTTATTAGAGCTGAAGCTCACGCTCGTTGGATCTATAAAGACCGGCGTAAGGAGCGTTTTATGTATGTGCCACTTCCCACGTCGTTCAAGATACGAAGAAAAAGAATAAACTTGAGTCTTTCTTATCTTTAACAACCATTTCTTGAGATCTTTCAATTTTCTTACATTTTTTTATTCGCACTTTTCTTAACTATTGTTCATTTGTACGAAACAACCGATTTTCACACTTCAAGAATACTCGAAAGAAAATTTATTATTAAATAAGATTATTATTAAATATATATTAGATTATATGAGATAGGTAACAGTGTTATTCTCATCTATTTAAAGAAAAGGGAAAAGTAACTCGATCGTCGAAAATCGCAAGCTCCAGAAGGAGCTACGCTTCGCTGAATGAGCTAACAGCACATGCTAAGTATACTTACTTGCGAATGGTCATTTTTCCTTTGCAAATCCACCATTTCCTTATCGCCATTTTCTTTTTTCTATTATATTGTAAAGAAGACAATTCTTTTTTCCTTTCTTTTTTCATTTCGCATATCCCAAAATTTTTGTCACTTACAAAAAGAAAGAATTTAAATTAGTTTTACATACATAATAAATAGACAAATATTTTATATATAAATATATATATAAATATGTGATTTGCAAACTAAAGAAATTATTTTTATAAAATTATGAAAATATTATATTTCAATGTAATTTAAATTAATATAACTGTTTTATGGTTAACTAAATTCTTGACTTAAGATTTTGTACTTGGCTCCAGGTCAAATACTCATTATTAATAAGCGAGACGCCTTGAGAAAGTGTGGAAATGTTAAGTCAAAGGATAGAAAATGAAAGAAAATGAAAGAGAAGAAAGTAAGAAAATGATAGGACGATGCACCTGTCACTCCTAAATCTCGTTGCTTGGGGTGTCCTCGTGAGTGTCACGGTCGCGTTTAGAGGAAAACGCTTCAGCCCCTTCTATCTGTAACTCCTTCTTTCTCTTTCTCGCGTTTTAATAGCTATATGTATATATGCATTTAATTGGCTGACATACGAGAACGAGAAAAAGAAAGAAAGAGAGAGAGAGAGAGAAAGTAAGTTATTTCTAGAGGAACGGTCATTAGTCCATTACCATGGACGACGACAAAATATCCCTAGTTGCATCCTCTTTTCTCCTAGAAAGATTTCTACGATATTTTCGAGTTTTCGGAAAATCTAAATAAACTTCTCTAACATCTTATTCTTACTAATCACATATATTTATCTACGATTTCCTGACAATCCCAAATTATCTTTACTTTTATCTGATCGAGACAATTGTTCCCGAAAGGGATGAAATTTCTTCGAAACTTTCTTAAAACACTTTCATTCGAATCTTCTTAGAAAATCTAGAAAAAAAAATTAATGTGTTGGAATGTATTAAGAATTAATTTTAATATTAAAACAATAATACAAACGATTATTGTTACTCAAGTTAATGTTGTTCTTAATCAACAAAAATTGTGATTTGATGTAAATTGTATAATTTAAATGAAGATAAAATGAATGAAATTAATAGTGATAACGATTAATCATTGAAGACTATTTACAAATGAACACAGGAAGAAACATCGGCGTTATTAGTAGAAATGAAAATCGTGGTAGTTCGAGTGAGAGAAAGAGAGTGGAGAGAAAAAGAGAGAGAGAGAGAGAGAGCTAAGGACGTTGCCAAACGCCGTGTAACAAATTGCACGGCTCTTGCAGCCGGCCGAAAGTACATAATTTAATAAGCGATGTGGTTTACGAGCCAGCGGTGTAGCTGCAGTTAGAGTCGAGATTTAACGATTTGACTTTTGCGGGGTGCATTTCCTCTGCTTTTCTCTTCCTTATTTCTTTTCATTTGCTACCATCTTTCCTTTCTTTTTTCTTTTTTTTTTTTTTTTTTTATAAACAGCACTCACGATAAGTTTTTTATTATATAAATAATTTCTTACAATATATTTTTATTAAATTAATCTCATTTGACTTTTGTATAATCCTCAGATGTATAATCCTAGTTAGTATTTTATATATGAAAATGAATGTAATATCTTTCTCTCTCTCTCTCTCTTTAAACTCTTCTCATAGCTTTGACTTTGCACGGTCCATGGACAAGCGTCATTTCTTGGCATAAGCCAACTCGGCTTAATGTTGTTTTAATTAAGTAGGCGGTTAGCCGAAAAGAATGTCGAGAGTCGGTACTTTCAAACTCGTCGTCGAGGACTTTGTCGTCGTCGTCGTCGTCGTTTCTCTTTCTCTATTTCGAGAGTTGTGCTCGTAAGAGAACGAGTCAGCATGTGTTCCTCGTATGTTCAGACGCGATGGACGATTTCGTTTGACTAATCGCCGTCTTTTCAACCTTTCCTAGATCCCCCTACCCCTCTACTGTTTCTTCTTATTCTTTTTACCCCTTCTTCTTCTTAGTTATCGTCTTCTTCTTTCTCTTTGTCTTCTACTTCTACTTCAACTTATTATTATTATTATTATTATCATTATTATTTTTATTATACTTTTTTTCCTATCCTTTTTCTTAGTTATCATCATTTACTTACTATTTTTTCTTCTATTTCTTCTTTTTCTTTCTACCTTTCTTATTAGTTGTCATCTTCTACTTCAACTTTTATCACTACTTATTATTATTATTATTATTATTATTATTATTATTATTATTATTATTATTATAGTTTTTTCTACCCTTCCTTTTAATTATTATCATCTTTCTACCCTTCTTAATTGTCATCATCATCCTCCACTTTCACTTCTTTTTCTTTCACTTCTTCTTACTTTTCTTCTTAATTGTTATCATCTTCCTCTACTACTTGTACTTTTTCTTCTTCTACAATATAATTGTTCTATTCTTTATTACTTTTTTTTATTATTTTGAATTTTGTTTTCCTCAATTTTTTTTTCCATTCATTTTGGTAAAATTTTTGTCAAAATTTTTTCTTCTTTTACTTCTCACATAGACATCTATATTTCTTTGTCTTCTACTTCTTCTCACGATGTGGTTAAAGTCAGAGGAAATCGCGATGTCCCATCTGAACTCCCCGTTCCATAGAACACACCGTTTAACGACAAAAGCGTGGACTGGTACCTAGTAATTTGGATCGAGTCTGCAGAGAAAGCGAGAGATGGTTGGTTGGTTGGTTGGTTGGTTGGTTGGTTGGTTGGTTGGTTGGTTGCTTGGTTGGTTGCTTGGTTGGTTGGTAGCTTTACAAACGTAATGGTGCTTCTACTACTTCTCCTTATTCTTATTTTTCTTTTTCTACTTCTTCAACTTCGTGAGTTCGCATGAATTCGTTAACTATCTACATATTATTACGAGCCTCTCTTGCATAAAAGCCAAGTTCTAATTACGAATGACAATCTTTGTGTTGTACTTGCTCTCTTTACTCTTTCAAATTAAAAAAAAAAAAAAAAAAACAAAAAAAAAAGAATCAAGAAAAGAAAGAAATACGACGAAATAGAAAGGATTTCATGAAACAAATTTATTCGCATCTCATATTCTTTGATGATGAATCGAGAGTACAAACAAAATGGCGTTGAAAGTTAATCAACAACATTTCTCTAGGAAATTATCCGTGTCGAGCGAAAAACGTAAGACACGTACCTTTATCGAGACAATCTAAACGAAGAAAAAAAAGGAAAGAAAAAATAAACAAAATAAAAATGAGCGATCTTAAGAGTCTCGAGAATTCACTACCGGCGTTTGATATTTCGACAACGGTGGTACCCAATTTTATGCTTCGTCGGAGCGGGTCCATTTGATGTTTACAAGATACCAGGTGTATCCTTCGAACATCGTTTCCGTGAATTTAACAAAAAGAACAAGAAATAGACAAAATTATAACGCAGTTAATAACGCATCTTCTATTTCAGATCAATTGTTGTTCTTACACGAGGAAATGATAATTAGTCGAATTCAAGATACATATCGAATAAGACTCGATGTAAAAACTACCCCTAAAAATATCGAATGGAAAAAAATACATTAATATGAAACTTATATTGTTTTAGATCATTCAAAAAATTCTTAAATATTTTTACATAGGAATTTGAAACTTTGACATGTGTAAAATGTAAAAAATATTAATTAACAATTAAAAAGCTACTCCATCTGAAGTAGAAATATGCGTGACTCTACAACTAGTAGCATATGATAATTTTTTACAATACAGATTTCTACAATATCTACAATTTCTATAATATCTCAAATTGATAAGGCTAATTTCATTTCATTTATTTACTGTTAACAGTAAACTTTCTTCTTTACCAACTATTAATCATCGAGAAAACTGCATTATCATTTTTCAAATTAGTCATAAGTTGACTGGTGCTGCTCTCTACAAATCATGGTCATTATATAAAACTCATCGTACGTTTGTAGCGGTTTGTTTAAACTATAACCATAAAACAACTTATCAAAATAAAATAATATTTTCTAAGAATTTACGTGTGGTCGCAGTATTGACTGAATTCTTTAAATTTACCTTTCTCAGAATTATTTGACTGGTCAATTATGCAGAAATAAAATTGTGTAAAAAAGAATTTCTTGACGAGTCGCATCGTAGAAAAGTAAAATGTACTTTCTCCGATCGTAAAACAATAATGGTTCGAAGAAAATAAAACTCGTGAAATAATTTACAATCTATAATTCTTAAACTAAGGAACTTATAATAATTTATAAAAATTCTTAGAAATAATAAGACACTTTGCGTAGAGCAACATTTTAGATATATTTATTTAAATGCTCAAAGAATAATATAAAATACAGTATAATAATGCATCAGTCGATCGAAATATAATGTTATCATTATAACTGAATTACTATCTCGATATCTAAGTATACATATAAGCTGCAGTTGAAAAATTAATACTAAAGATCATCAATATCGCCATTTTTTTATCTTTCCATGCTCATTGGTCATTCTTTGAGTCCTCCTGCAGCTTCTACGCATTTCTCATCAGATTGTATTAACATTTACAATTGGTACAATTGCATTTGCCAGTTGTCTTACAACAACAATCACATTTTTCTGTAATAAAAAATTAAAATAATTTTATTAATTTATAATACGCAAATTCAAATTGTTTGAGACTCGTTCAAAATTTTTCATTTTGCAACGTTTAATTACAAGTGAAATTTGTTGAAATATTCAAATAGAAAATCTCGTAATATTGAAAGTATAGATAAAGTGGAATAGAATATAGTAAATCTCATGGAGGATGCAATGAACTCGCATTAGAAACAGTTACGGTTATTTGGCAGTTACTCGAGATGAAAAGGAAGTAAGAGTACAGTCACATTCAAAGTCGTAACATTGCATTCCTATTGTGCGCAGTAGCGTGACGTAACTTTTTGTCGATCGTTCATATCTTCGATCGAACTTAACCGAAAGTTCTTCTCTTGAGAACTCGAGAACGCTAAAGGTTATTCTAGAAATTTCTTACGAAACTTTAAAGCAATGGCAAATGAATACTTCCTGTTTAGATATGTACCTGAGGAACTAGAGTCACAGCATTTGCAATTGTTGCCGCATTTGCAGTCCTGACATTTATCTGAAACAAAAAGATAAAAGATTATTTCTAATTATGCTTTAAATAAATCATTTTTCTATAATAAATATATTTATTCTTAAAGCTTTAGAAAAAAATATATATTAATAAAAATATTTTTAAATACATGTTCAAATAAATATTTAACATTAGATATACCACCATTTTTAGTATACCTATTTCTACCACACTAGTCAAAATGACTGGTGTATAAAAAAAAAAATGCTTTTAGAGACTTCCAGTTTTTATTTACTATTAAAAAATAACAAAAAAATGTTTAACAATAATAATTTTAATAGATAAATGGATTTATAGACACTTTTAAATAACAAAATGCTTAATTATTTACAGAAATTAAATGTTACATGAAGTAGAAATTTTGAATTGAAATGGCTCGACACCAGTCAAAATGACTGGTCTGTTATATCTAGTGTTTAAAAAAATTCTATTTTATCGTTCGCGCGTGTAAATATAAAAATTATTTTAGATATATATGTGTATGTTTTATTTATCTACAATATTTATATTAAACAAATAATTTTTATTAACTATATACTTCAATATTATCAAATCGATAGCAAAATATTGACACTCTCTTCGTTTGATAACTATAAAAATGAAGATAATAAATCTTGTTATCATTGATTATCTGAAATAACGCTATTAAAAGATACTTCGTTCGAGTACACAGTAAGATTACTATAGTCTAAGTATAAACAATATTTTTGTCTACGTTTTATCCGGAAGTGCAAATTCACACGTCTGTTAAGAAAATCTCCAAGCGAAAATTCTCGAAAGTGAAATTGATTGAACCTATCGTTGATCATCAACTCACTTATTTTAAACGAGAAATAAATAGATTGTAATGAAAGAAGTCGGATGATACGATAATGCATTGGCGGACATGTTAATAGCCATCGAAATTCCCCCTTCGTTCGAGTTAAACGACGGTGTCTCGCACACAATCAAATTATTATTAAATTCCACTTGCGAATAATTCTCGAAATTCTTCTTTTTTCATACCGCGCGAAGAAATTCTTTAATCAAATTTTATGACGCGTTAAAATTACTATAATCAAATTAATTTTAATATAAATTCTAATATAAATAATAACATATACATATAACTATTTATAAAAATATAATATAAATATAAATGTTATTTATTTAATATATACGAGGGTGGATTGAATAGTTTTGAGCCTGTTCTCTAAAAAAAATAGAAATGAATTTGACTAAAAAAAAAGATTTTTTTGATGCTTCTTTTTTATGTTTTTTTATATATTCTTAAGAAATCAACATTTATTTCGCATTTGCAGAAAACTAATTGTTTATGTTTGTCAATATTGTTTAAAAAACGATAAAGTGTATTGTTCAAATGACATTGCATCAAGTTATCGTGAAATAACATCATACAGGAGAAGGAGTGTTTAGTCATTCTCAAAGAAAAAAAAAATGAGTAATACATGTATGTACATTCGATTATGTCAAAGATGAAAATAATAAAATTGAAATATATATATATATAAAATTCTTAAAATCTCCTTCTAACACTACATTTTATTAGTAAACATAAATTAAAAAACAGTCATTAATAAATTGAAATAAAGACACATTAATTTTATTATAATCAAAACTTGCACAAAAAAATGAAATTCTATTTCACTTAAAAAAATTAATTAAATAAAATAAACAATAATAATAAAATAAAAATAAATAACCAAATTATTAAATAAATAAAGTACTATTGTAGTGACATATGATCAAACGTCATTTTAATTTAGTATAAAAATATTCAAAAAAAAAAATATATCAATAAAATAACATATTATAGAATTCGAAACAACATAAACATTGTTTTATAAGTAAAATAAAATAATAATAAAATAAAATAATTTCGTTCTATAGCAACAACATTTCATCAAACCCAATTCTCTGATATATAAAAATATTTAAAAAGAGAAATATAAAAAATATCAAGATTCTTACCTTTGCACTTATCGCAGTTTGGTCCCGGCATCTTGACTTTACTTGCAAATTATTGTATTGAAGCTCCGTATGTGTTTACGTCTGCGTTCGATTTACCGTCGTAGACGTTCGGTCTTTCAAATATATCGATCCTCCCCACTCCTGGTGCATGAGTAATAAGCGCCGACAGCAAGTGCAAGCGGCACTAAACTGACGTGCCATGCGCAACAACTAGATAGGGCCGTGTGTAAATCACGTGACCATAATGAAGACCAATGATAGAATGGTGATAATACGTAAGCCGCGAGACTTCAAATAAATTGCATCATTCTCATCCATGATCTTTCATAAATTACACTTCAATTAAATATTTTGTTCTTTTTTTATTTATTTATTAATCCACTTATTTTTCATTCGCGCTTACCTTCATTTTTTATTTTTTACTTAAATTTTATAAGATTGAAAATTATTTAATTTAATTTCATTAAAATACAATGAAACGTTTAATATTATAAACATTTTATTTATTGCTCATTTTAATTGTCTTTTTAATGATTTTAATTATTTTTTTTTTCATTCCAGATAAATTAGTATATTCTTATCATGAATAAAGAATGGATCGACGTTACCTGATAAATATACAATAGGATTTATTTATAAAATATGATTTATATTTAATTTCGGAAGTATGGATGTCATCCATATTAGTATAATATTTAATTACATTCTCTTTAGTATATATATTACGATTAGTTTAAAAATTTTTAAACATAGAGACAGAGACAAGAGTTTGAAACTCCGATATATTTTCTTTTTCTTTATAATTTAACGTATATTAACATTTATACGTATATTCTATAATACAAACGAGAGATATTACAATGAGAAGATATTTGAAATGCCTCCTTGGATAAAATTTTTAATAAGATTCTTCTGATATAATTAAGAATAGAAATATATTATTTAATTAAATGTTGTACTGTCTTTGATTGATTATAGAATATTTGTTTTCCTTTTCCTTCGGAATATTGGTCGATATATCGATAACCAATCGATTTTTATTTGAGATAAACTACAACAAAAAAATTGATCGAATTTCAATGAAAACTCTGTCAGATATTTCTGACTTTGGCTAACCCTCATATTTTCCCTATTCGATGAACGGACCAAGAACGAAATAATTTTTTCGATGATTTATTCTTTAATTCCCTTCCATGTGCGATTTGTATTTCTAACGAAGCTCCGTTGTTCAAGGCCAGCCAGGTATGCACCTCGTTGTTTGCTGCTGATACTTTTACGAAAAAATATAACACAAGAAACATTTCAAACTATTGTAAATTATTTAATTTTACTAACTACAAATATTTTTATTTGATCAGTATTTTAGAATATAAATGATTGATTCATATTTTCTATCTCGTATTTAATCCTTTTGTTATTAATGATCACATTTATGGGAAATCCATGCACAGTCGTAACATGCGATGATGCGTTTGTACGAGATTGCATTAAGATTACATACTAATTATTTTATTATAAATACTGATTGTTTATTTAAAAATACTGACCCAATAAATTGCAATCATATATTAAATACAAACCTAATAATTCATGTAACGTGATACGTCGACTAGCCAATAATTCTTTACTGGCACCCCTAATTTCAAATATGAGCAACGCTTGTCTCGGAACACTGTCGCTTTCAATATGAAAATCTATACTGAATTGTGGATTTGGCATTGCCGGTAATAATCTTGACTTTGCTATTGTTTTACCGGCGTTAGCAGAAGACGACATTTTGTCTGGACTATTGCATCTATAAAAAAGTAAAAAAAAAAAATAAAAATAAAGATTGTACAGATTTAAAATATCCTTATCAGATTCATATTTACTTTAGAAAGATACGATATAAAAGCAATCTTATATTTACGTTTGAAATTTAACTCGGCAGTATAACTGTGCTATGTGAGCAACGTGAAGTCCCTGAGCTTGTAAAACTTTTCCTTCCACACCTGAATACCTTTCTCTTGTTCCATTAACAATTTTCAATTCTAAAAAGAAACAAAGATCTCATACTGTTATTAAAAATAATAGCAGGTTTTGTTTTTTGTATGAAAAAGAAAAATACTCGTTCGTTGATAAAAAGAATAATACAAAATGTAAAACGTATTATTTTTAACATAAGTTTTCATTGGCAAATAAATAAATCTCAGTTATTTTAAAGGCATTAATTTTTTTGTTTCTTTTAAATATTTTGCTTTCTCTCAATTTACGTAAAGACTTTTAAACTTTGAACAGATAGTGTACAAATACTCGTATATAGAAACAAATTTAGATAAGATTTACCATTTGGTCTTAGTCGTAAACGTGGACTAGGCTGTCTTATTCTACCAAGCATATCAGGTTGCGAAACAGCATGTGCTAAACCTGCACCTTGTAACAATTCTGTAGCATCAGCTTCACCCCCACCTCTTGGTTCTAAACTCAAAGTAATACCCTTGCTTTCGTTTTTATTATCCTCGATGTTAACTTCTGAACGAAATCTGCGGAGTTTCAATCCTCTCTTCACCTACGATTATACGTTACAATATATTCAAATAAAAACGAGTTTGATATTCTCATAATAATATACCTTTTGTTTCATAACACGGAAACTGTTGTATTGCGGTAACTTTTTACCAAAATTTTGTTCGGGACTTGGTGTTAGACTATGATGAGATGATCGTCTTTCTCGAATTTTTGGTGCATCGGCTTCGTCGACAACAACATCGGTGATTGATTCATTAGCAACACGTGGAATCCATGAATTCTGAGTACCATTTATTTCGATCGAATCTTTACTCGTCGTACTGGTCTTGTCTGTTTGAAATAATAATAAAAAGTTAACTTTATGATCCCATTGGGTATGGATTTATAAAACACATCTCGTATGGCCTTGAGCTTAGTACATATGTTTCATGATATATACCATATTCATTGAGTATGCATTACATCATAATATTTACGAAGATGGTAACACGTTGAACGAATGTTAAAGTCAAGGCTACAGGAAGAAACGTAGTCATTTCTTCTCATGTTTATTTCAAAAAGTTCAAATTACCAGATTGATTGGAAGTAGTTGGTTTTATTAGGGTAACGGTACGAGGAGGGGGCGGAGGTGGGATGACTGGATCCAGATGTAACTTCATCTTAGATTTTTCCATAGATGGTCTTCTTATGATATTGGATATCGATTCGGTTTCGATATTATAACGAGAAGAACCTTCACTCACGTTACTGGCTGCGTACGTACTTTGGGTCTATAAAAAATAAAAAAGATGGAAATATATGCAATAAAAAATGTGTATAAAATTTATTGAAATTATTTTCAATACCTCACATTCCTCGGAGAGAACTTTTATTTTCAACTCGACAGATCCCGTTTTGGTTCCCTTTAACGTGAACCAATGAGACTGATCGCTGTTTGAAAGTTTTCTTATGTCTTCAAGAGTCAATGATACTTTACCTAAATAATCTTTCATACCAAAAGTATCATGATCCCATAAGACCTGTAAATAATATAATATCAAATTTATTTCATAAATTTTGTAATAAATTATTCTATTAGATTGCTTGTGGAAAATTAGTGTCGATTAATATTTCTAATCCTTTTGGTTGCAGTATGCTATAACAAAATGCATTGTGTAACCCCCATATGGGTAGGTGAATCGTTCATAAACGACCAGTATATAGATAATTAATAACGAAAGGATTAAAAATATAAATGAAATCTATATAAATATATTTATAAACAAATCCATGAACTTTACGGGCAATACAATATTATATTATAATTAAATAAATAAATAATTATTACAATATCTAAACTTTCTCCTGACCGAGGTAGACCCATGATCGAACTCTCATCCCAACACGGATTTAAAGTTTTCTTTTTAATACTACTTTTGTACTTAGTTTCGTTATTTAATTTGAGCTCACAGAAGGGATCACTAAAGCCATTTAAATCTTTCGCAACCAAATCTTTAGCACGTAACAAAGTAACTTCCATTAAGCCGCTTCCAGTGGACAGAAGACTCGATATATCGGAAGATGCAGGGTCGACGTCTTTGTGAGTTAATAATAATTTCTAAATAGAACATTGATAGAAGGAAGATGGTTATTAATAAAATATTATGTGTTAACACATTAAATCATACGGTTAATTAAACATTGATGTAATAACTAACAGCTTGTTGCATCCAGGGTAAACTGTTTCTCTTTGATTTTGGTTCGTCATCCGAGCCTACGGGAACCATGCTGCTTCTTCGACTGGTAACTACTTGTTGTACACTCTTTACAGGATAAAATAACACAGAAACAGTCATGGTCGACACACTGTTTGTACCGTTTAACGTTAATTCTTTTCTAAGTACCCATGTTGAGTCCTTTAAAAAAGAAGACAAAAAAAAACAAAATTATTAACATTAATATATATACGATTAACGTATGTGAAATGTACTATAATTTTTGTTAACCCTTTCGTTACGTCATGCTCTGATGCAAATATCGTTCCGTATAAATTTTCTAAGATGTACGCATCGTCGAATGACATGACCCCCTCCCTTTATATGGGTCGATAAATCTTTTCATGTATATGAATCGTTAGCAACGAAAGGGTTAAATATCGTATATATTTTATTTTTACCTGTGACAACGACATCATAGCGAGTCCAAGCATATCCGAATCACAGGATTTCGAAATATTCCAAGAATATATAACGAAGCTTAAACAAACTTGAGTGTAATCCTGTACGAGAAATTGTGCTCTACATTCCCAATGTGGAGAGATAGTATTACGGATGTAATGTGTTGTTTTCACCTTTAAAGAAAATTATTTGATATCATCTTTCATGAAACAGACCTCTAACTTTTATTCTAACAAAATTTACTTCTATATATATGCAACTATACCTTTTTTCGATTATTGAACAACATACAGTAAGGATTACATTGTGAATTATCACAGTTGAGATTCTCTGCTGAATGGATGTAAACCACTAAAACACCTAAAAATTATTTAATATTTATTCTATAATCAATTAATTCATAGTACAATGAAAATTATTCAAATCTTTTGTTTCTTTTCTCATCTATCTTCTTTTTATGTTATTTTTTTCTCTATTTTTTCTTTTTTTTTTTTTGATTGAATTATTTTTAGTGAGTGATACATTGTTGCGCGGTGCGTCAATAGAAAAAATAAAATAATAATAATAATAATAATAATAATAATAATAATAATAATAATAATAATAATAATAATGAGACCATGCTCAAAAGCTACACTTATTACGACCGATGTTAACATCGCATTATTTTTTTACCTGATTTCTGTGTTCGAGAGAAATACTTTCGTGGCACTGAAAATATCATCAAATGGTGTAATACGTCTAATTGATCACAATCTACGATATTTTTAAACACGCTTTTGTTTTACATCAATTTTTCTGTATATCGATCAATTTCAACGCTAAATCAATAAATAGTATTTTAAATAAATAATAATTATATAATTTACCTGCATTGTGTAACATGTCATCGGTTAATTCAGGTCGTGGCAAATTCGGATCCAAATTAGGAATGGGTGTATATTCTAATCGAGCATTGATATTTGGAATGTTTGAACTGCTGCGTGATGGTTTCTTTTGTTGTAGTACAGTTTCAACGCTATCATGTTGAAAAAAAAATCTTATTAATTATTATTTAACATTTTGTTTGTATTTAATAATGAAATTTACTTACACCTGAGAATTTTCCCAATTGTAGACACCCAATGCCAATTCAAATTGCGCTAACGTGATTGTACTAACGAGCCTTTTAGTTTTCAATTTGATGGTAATCCTTTCGTTTTCCAATGATCCAACGAGAAAAGAAACATCTTCGGTCCAAGTTGGACTCAGATGTGACGTTACACGTCGTTGATCACCTATCGTAACAACCAACCACCTAACTTCATCCCCAATGATAGCTGTAAAATCATGAAAACAACGTTAAACGTTTGAATTTGATTAAAAGAAAAAGAAAAGAAAACACGAAGAAATTTTTAACAGTGTACATACGTGCTGAACAATTTTGACTCAATACAACAGTTAGTACACCTTGTGGTATCGAATTAGACAATGAATCCAATCCAGGGCCAGGTCTTTCTTGTGCTCTTAAATTTAATTCCAAATGACCCGGATCAACTAACCAACTGGCCAAAGCATCGGTAACAACAGCATGAATCCAGGTCTTAATTAAAGGCATCTCCATCATCTGCACGGCTCGTAGGATTCTCACGCTGAACCAAACATCCGGTTTCTCCAAGAAGCTCACGCTAAGGCTGGTCGCGTGTGGAAACGGTGCCAAAGAATTCAGGGTCAGAGTAGCGAGAATTGTACCGGATAGGGACAACTTTTCCACGGCCATATCGACGTCCATCCCGACACTGCTGTTAATAACGCAAATCATGGATAACAAGAAAAGAAAAAAAAGAAAAACATAAATAAATAAATACCAAAAAAAAAAATAAATGTCCATTTTATTATCGTATCGTAAATTTACTGAACGAAAATTTACACCAATCGCGTGGTAGACCTAACGTTCGGGATATTAATTATATCGGAATTTACGTATATCGTAAATTTACCCCTTCCCGAAGAGACGAGACGCTATGAGCATGCGAAATTGCTCGCAGTCCAATCGTACATCGGCCTCGATTGATAGTTTTCTCTCTCCTGAATGACCATCCAACGTTTCATCCTCGCAACTATAATCCAATGTCCTCACACGTGTTACGTACGGTGTTTGCTCCCCAAGAGTAAGTTCACGTAACTCTAATGGTCCTTAAAGACAATATTCAAATGAGTCTTTATAAAAATTATTATTTTCTCTTTAAAAATTAAATAATTTCATTGACACAATTTAATTTACCTAATATTCCAGGTTTGGCTTCATTCAATAATGGTTCCAACCGTTCTTTCGCTAAAGAAAATATGCTAGCTGCGCTAAATCTCCACCTGTAAAAATTAGAACAACGTGATTACACGAACACATCATTTTTATGCTCAATTAACTAACGTTTAAAATGCCGCGTGAACATTTCAATTATGAGAGTAACAATGTCGATAAGTATTCACGCTTAAAAACACACACACACAAACACTTGTTCATAATTATTTTACAGTGCCCTAGCTCGTTTAATTTACGAAAGATAACCGTTTCATGGTTATTTTTCCTTTTTTTTTTTTTTTTTTAAGTGTTTCAACAAAATATATTTTGATGAGAATCTAACATGATAACTTTCACAATAATGTACTTATTATTTATAATTTATCTCAACGACGTTCTATTATTAAATCTTCTAGAACGATGGGGAAACTTCGTTTATTTCGAGTTGGTGGAACGTATGGAAATGAAAAAAGAAAAGAAAAATACGATGGGAAATATGAGTTGCTTTGATAAAACCCGCGTGAACATTTTTCTAAAGGATTATTTTCCAAAGAGCGTATAAACACATGGAAGAAACTTAACTTAACTGTATCAAAACCTCGACGTAAGATACGATGTACAGATATGCGTGATCACGGCTACTTTCCTTTCGCCATGCTATGATAATGAATTCGTGTCATTAGTGTAGCATTCTTGTTAACAGTCTAAACAAACTGCATCTTGCTACTATCGTGTTACCACAATAGTGTGTAACTAAGCACATATAAAGCTCTTCCAAAATGAATTTAAGACTATAAAGGTTAAAATAAAAATATTAAAATATATCTAAAGGATATATTTAAATAAAAATTGTCAACTTGTCAATTCAGGAAAAAATTCATTAGTCCTACAAAAATGTTTAGTTACAATAATTGATTGTAATAGGTTTTTTCTTTTTTTTTTTTTTTTTTTTTGAAAAAACTGGTTGTATCATAAAGTTGAATACTTGACTGCAGGGCCAACTAGAAAAGTGCATTCTGTATGATGGCACGTGAGTGAACCTTAGAAACTTGTATACGTCGTAGTTGAACGTGACTCGGGCAGGAACGTAGTTGCATTAGTATATTCCTTCAATTTACTATCTATCTACTTTCTCTCGTATGTGTATGTTTCTCTCAAGATGTCGGAGAGAAACGAGAGAGGGACGGGTGTCCAGGAATGTACGAACAGGCCTATCAACTATCCAAATAAGTAGTACTCTTTCCAGTCCCATTCCCTCGTGGTCTGCTCTAACTCCTTCGACACTCTAAGAAATGAGAAAATCTTTCTTCCTATCACAACTAGTACTAATATATAAGTAACTAATTAAATATAAATGTAAGTACATTATTTAAATATATTATATTTTAACAAAATGATTTATATAATCTTTGAGAATTAAAACCTTAACTCGAAAAATCAATCAAAATCTAATATCATTGATGATATTAATCATCCTGACTACATTTTTAATTGTCTCGTTATAAGTTAATCGTTAATTATTAAATAGTATACTTCGTCGAGCATGACTGGGAAGTATACATTTTCTAACGATTTCTAATTTTTTTTTTTAATTATTTATTTTTAATTGATATCATTTAACGCCATGCAAAAGAAATTAAATATATGTCGTATATTATTTAGGATTAAATATACAAAATAATTTATAGGATAGTATAAAAACATTTATGTTATTTATTTATAGATGTAAGATAACGAAATGATATATGAGGATGGATGGAAAAAGTTGTAATCCTCTGAGAAAAGAACTCTTATTTTTTTTTTTTTTTTTTTAATAAGAATATAAGTTTGACCGAAAAAATAAACAAAATTGTCTTTTGATAAATTCACTTTAAAATTAATCTATTTTTTAATTATATATATATAAAAATAATTTAATTAAATTAGAAATTTATTTTTGGCAACTTTTAATATAGAAAAATAATTAATTGTATATAATTAAAATAAAATATACCTAATATAATATTTTCGCATAAATCAAACGATCATTCTGTTCGTGTATTTTATTCTCGAATGATTTTGTTTTGGAACACGTTGTTAGGTACGATTTTCGATTGAATAAATTCAGTTCACGAGTAAAAACTATTTTCAGCACGTTACTTTGAACGTGTTGTCTTTATCGTGTTCTGTAAAAAAAAAATTACATGTTCTCCGAACAACGGCTCTTAACCGACTGATTGCGAAATCGCTAAGACCACTCATGCTCTTTCTGTTCGCACATGTGTATTTATTACATGTAAAATTCTGACGTTCATAGAATAACTTCGAAAATTTTCGAGAAAAAATTATTAAACGAATTATACATATACGAATAAAATGAATATAGAAATTATTACAGTATAATTATTCTCATATGTTAAATTATTTTCATATTATTTAAAAATATATTTGTAATTAATTAAAGGATGATATTAAAATATTAATTGATCCTATTAAAATTTCAAATTCTAATTTATATGAAATATAATTATAATATTAACATTAATTTTAATTAAAAATATTAATTAGAAAAAACAAAATAGAAAGAAAAAATTCGATACAATTTTACAATACAAAAAAAAAAAGTAATATGTTAAATACAAATCCATAAAAAAAGAAAAATTCCATCAAAATTGTTAACTAATGTCATATACTTTTTTTTCATATCACTTCGAATCGATTAGATCAATAATCATTCAGCTATCCCATCGATATCATATTTCTCATTCGTTCTCATAAGTTAGAACGTCGGGGTAACAGTTTCATTTGGTTTTGTCAACTACTCTGCAGCTCTCTCGTGGTCACAGATTCTATCCTCGTGTTGATGTGTGGGAGAAACGTGAAAGGCAATGGGTGTACGCACAAGGAATGTGGAATGTTTACAAATGCCTATACAGTACTCATTCTCGAACGAGGTTCGTTCACCTATTCTCCGACCACTACATGTACTCATTATATAGTAGTAATAGTAATAGTAGTAGTAGTAGTAAAAGTAATAGTAATAGTAATAGTAATAGTAATAGTAATAGTAGTAGTAGTAGTAGTAGTAGTAGTAGTAGTAGTAGTAGTAGTAAAAGTAGTAGTAGTAGTATGCGAGAACACACGAGAAGATATAGCTGTATTATATACTTGATGTTCACGATCGTGCGCAATTATCGCGATATGCAATTATTTTAACCGCGTGGGGTAAGCTCCTATTACGATTTATGGTCGTAGAAAAGCATAATCCTAATCAGAGACTTTACGAACATAACTGAATTTCCTATACACAGCTGAAATACTTTACGTAATGTTCTTATCTACATTCCCTATCTACAGTTGTTGTTTTTCTTTTTTCTAACAATTTAGATCAACGATAAAAATAAGGATGTTTTCTAAAAAAAATGTATAATATTGATTTTATTATTATTTATTTCTAAGAATTATTTCTATATTCTATTATGTTCTTATTTTCTAGTAACTTCGTTAGATCAACGATAAGAATAGAATGTTAAAAATTTTACAACAACGATTAGAAGTAAAAAATGAAGAATTGATTTCCTTGTTTTTTTTTTTTTATTATTTAATTAGATATTAGTATATTCATTTAAATATTTGAATTGATCATCAAGGATATTCAACTATGACACAAATCACGTGGGACTCCACCCTGTAATACGCATACTCAAGGTATATATTAAATCGATTATGCAGCGTAACTCTCTGTTCCAATTACCGTTAATGGGAACATATCATTTCTACTATATTACACGTAAAATAATACCTATATTTTTTAAATCGGTTCATTGCATTCGAAATAAAAATAGTAAAAGAGAAATATTACATGTAAATATTAAAAATTTCGATTCGTTTAATAGATACTCACCACTTGTTGAGTAATAAACTAAGCCACTCTGCTGTTTCATCTTTGTACAAAGCTCGTCTTCTTCTTAATCTGGCCAATTCGTTATGAAGAGCTGTCTGAAGTAGTCGCGAGATTCTTGCCTTAACAATTGTACCAACTAATGCCAGAACTAGAACTAACCAGGCTAAGGATAAACCAACTGCTCCGATTATCCAGGCGATCGTAAGGGCCAATCCAAGGTACAGGGCACCGCGTATTGCTTCTGCATCCCTCTAAAATATAAAATTTAAAAAGTCATTCATTAAATTGACGTATCTGAGAAACAAACAAGTTTATTAAATGTATCTTCCTTTTTTTTAAATTTGATTTATTTTAAATTAAGAAAACATATTGAACACATTTGTAGCATGACCTAACAAATAATTTTTTATTTCCAGTGTGACAGGCGTTTGTTCTATCAATGGGTCTTATCACACGTAACAACCGAACTACTATATTATTTTATATATTTTTTAACACTGTGACCTCTACAATGTAAAACGTGTAAAACTCGTATCAAAGTTAACATGTTAGATGAAATTAAAATAAGATATAAAAAAAAAAGAATCAAGTATATAAGACATTTCGTGTGACGATTAATCGATCGTAAAAACGCCTATCCAAAATTAAATAAATTCAGTGATAAGATTTAACAAATCGTCAGTTAGAAATGAAAAATACATAGTACCGATAATGGCCATCAACGTGCCTATACGTAAAGAGTTATTTTCTCTTTCTCTTTCGCAGGATATAGGACACGTTTTTGCTCATGTCTCACGCAACGTTGCGTGTTTTCTTGCTGAAGGGTTCTATGACGTCATTGAAGGAATGTCATTAACCTTAGATACTGTATGGTCAGATCGTGTTAGCCTGTCTATCTATCGAAGATCAGAACGAATTAACAATCTTCATCGTGACTTCAAGCAAAAAAAAAAAAAAGAAAAGAAAAAATACAAAAATAACACAAAAATAATCAAAAAAAAAAAAAAAAGACAAAAACTTGTACTCCCTCGTAGTACTTCGTGGTGGAATCTTTAAAAAAAAAAAAAAAAAAAAAACAATTATGATAATGGAATTAATCAAGGAGAACGATATTTTTCGTGTTATAAAATTAAAATCATAAATTCCTCCTTTCCTTTAACTCGAATAAGAATATATACATATATATATATGTATATATCCGTGAGTTAAATCGCATAAACGGGATGGCATTAAATTGAATGTTGGTTGGTTAAGAGGAAGGGAAAGATTATGAGGCACAAAAATGAGGACGCGTAACTCGCGTGAGGGCAGAAAGAGGATGGAACCGAGAAGTATAAATCCGAATGACAGGCGCAATGACGAATGTCGCGCTGAAATTTCGTGAAAGTTGCAATTATGCGTGCGTCGTGAATAATGGAGAAGAGGAGGAGGAGGAAGAGGTAAAGGAAAAAAAGAAAAAAAGAAAAAGATAGAGAAAGTGCACTCGACACAACACTCGAACTTGTCTTCTCGACTGGAGATCGGTTTTCTCTCAAATGCTACTCGACCAAGGTGAGATCTCTCGATCATAACGCCTTACCTTGCTCTTTACAATTTACGGATCTGTGCCCTTGACGATATCGAGACGTGTGTTAAATATATATCGCGTTACGTCTCTCTCTCTCTCTCTCTCTCTCTCTCTCTGGAATTCCATTTCAAAAAGTACACAAAAAAATGAAAGAAAAAGAAAATATTAAATAGATTTATTTTAATGTCCCTACGCAGTGATGATTTCGAGGATCAAATTTTCATTCAATGAAAAATAACATCAAAATTAATTAATACCGGTAATAGGTATGTAATATAAACAATGTATATATATATATGTTTAAGTAATTATAAGTATTAGTAGAGAGAGAACAATACTGTGTTCGATATACCTAAATTAATTATTAATTAATCGAAAGAAATGTGTATTGTTGTTTAAAAGCACGGAATATGTGTTTGGTGCACCGTCTTCCTCGAAATTCATCTTCAGACTGGCACGTTATCTGAAGATAACAATTTTTCTATTCAATGTTGTTTATATGACTTTCTGAATATTGTGAATGTGTGCAACGGTAATAATATTAGTAATAAAGAGAATTTAAGATTATAACGAATGTCATTCGTAAAACAAATTTTATATTGCAGAAATCCTGATTCATCTTTTTCCTACGATCCAATAACTCGTATTTTCAAGGTTTTTATTTTTTGCTTATTTTTTTTCTTACGACCTTGATATCATTTAAGATAAAATATTTATCCTTGAAAAATAAAATAAAATAAATTATGTTTCCTTCTGGGAACAGAAAATTTGTTTAACAAATGTTAACGCATATAAATGAGAAAATTGAATATGTCTGACGAGTTTCTTATTTTTTATTCGAGATATTTAGGTTGTTATTTTTTTTTCTTTTCAAAAATAAATTTTAGTAGAAACGATCATCGTTGATAACTCGTCCCGCGTTTCTTCGACTTTTACGCAATAGTAATTTAAGTTGTCCTGACAAGTACGCAACGTGTCATTAATTAGAAAGTCGAGCAATGTTTAAAGGGAACCTATGGGATCGTTAAAATAAACTACGTCTTCTTCGTGTGATACTTTACTTTAATAACCCTAATAACACGCTCCCTGCATGTTACTCTCTCTCTCTCTCTCTCTCTCTCCCTTTTTATTTCTCTCTAACGTGCGACACGAATTATATGAACGATCAAAAAAAAATCCAGTGAACGAAGTGATTTGATTTTCTTTTTTATCGTCGAGAAAAATTCATAAAAAATTATAACAAACAAAGAAATACCGTGTATCAAGGTACCAGAATTCCACGAAATTTTAATTGTTCTCCAACTATCTTCATCAAAATTCGCACTAAATTAGTTTTTTTCTTTTTTTTGTTTTCTAACTGCGAATGTACGTGTTTTTGCCTTTTTTTCTTTTTTCTTTTTTTGTTAACCTAATAAACAATCTCTCTATTGTTGATTATTTTTATCACAAATATTCACAAAGCACACCTACGTTCGCCAATAGTCTTACTTGTACTGGCAAATCTATTTTTGAATGAACCTTAAGCTCTTCTTACGCGGTACGAACGTCTTGTTTGTGAATCTTTCCGCAATAAATTTCAATAATATTTTCGTAAGAGATCGTTGTTTTTAATACATATTTGTTAAATAATGAAAATTAATCAACAACACAAAACTTGTCTAACAATTTATTCTAATCTTTTTACTTTTATTATTATTATTATAATACGTAATCAATAATAACAAAAAATAAAGTTTAGTATGGAAGAGAAATTGTTTGCCAAGGAAAATGAAAAATGATGTTAGGTAGTAAAAAGAAAAAGGTAAAATACTATCGTCATAGAGGTGGAAAAGTGATTCTTACTAACTCAGCGGATAAGGAAGAAGGTAAGTAAGAAGCTAGTGATAAAAATCAGGTTTAAAGTCTCACGGGTGTCGTACCGGAAAGCATTGTCTCCGGTACTTCCCACACCTGTGGAAGAATCATTTTCTCTCTTTTGACGTTCTTTAAATGCAACTTTCCGACATCCAATCTACTTCGATCTGCATTCATTAATTTTAAGGCCGATGAACGTGCATCTAACGTTTACATATTTTCATTTATGTATTCCACCAATCTATACAACTTTCAATGATCATTTGCATGAACGAAAAAAAAAAAAAATCTATCCAACATATATAATAGAAAGAAAAAAGAAAGATAAGATAAAAAAAAAGTTGGCAAGTTTTACGAGCGTTAGACTAACCAGATAAAATCGACACTGAACGTTTTTTTTTACGGTCGAAAAAATTTAATAGAAGGGAGCCAGAGTAAGAAAATACATTTTATTAATAAATAATCCAATATAACGTATATCGCATTGTTAATCCATTACGGTTCTAATATCGTAACACGATACGTTACTGTACTAAATTCTTAACGACCGTTTCCTTATTACTTGAAATTCCATAAATATCTTAACACATATCTTTAATATCTATACTTTTTTTTTTATTCGATAACGATAAATTTCATGTATTTAATATTTTTATAAAATTGTTTGAAAAGTTTTTTATGCCATTTCTTATTAATGTTCTATATTTAGATAATATTTTTTATTTCGTTGTTTTATCAAATTATATTTGATTTATAAAAAAAATGTAATCAAGAAGAGTGGATCGTATATCATACTCACATCGGTAAAATAATAATGAATAAAAATGATTACTCGTGTAAAAGATATTAAGAAAAAGTATCATAAAAAAAAAAAACTTCTCCGATGACCTAATTTATATAATCAAAATAAAATAATTTTATTTGATCGTTAATTATAAATTGTCCTCGTTATTAACGATATCCACATAAGGGGGGTACAATTTTTTGTACAATTATATTTACAAATGAAAATCTTATACAATAATATTTGATTTTTTATTTACCTGAGTTTTTTGTGCGATGGCCAATGCAAATTCATCGTCAGGTGCAGGATCGTTGAGTGTCATATTGGCAGATCCTCCTGCAGTACCACATGCAGATACACCGTTCAGGGATTTGTTCGAAGCTATTCCGGAAGCTGACGAAGTTTTGACAGGACTTCCGCCTCCAACGACTTCGCGCTTCCCTGAAAACAATAATGGATGAATGATGTTAATCGTGTTCAATCAATTATGTTACGAACGTCATGGAATATACAACAAAGTTTCTTTGATTTAAAATAACTTATGATTTACATAATTCTATAATCAGAATAAAATAGCACAAAAATGTCTATAAACATTATTTATAAGTGCATTTATATATTTTACGTATAATATTTTATTTTTTGTAATTTATCGATTGAATGACGTATGCTACGTTTATTAAAATTTGTAGAACAATATAAAACGAATTTAATGATTAAATTAAATAAAAAGCTTATTTCTATTTTGAAAATTAAATAATAACTAATGAACAATTAATTTATTTACTGTAACATAAAATCAAGTTTGATTAATCAAATTTTATGAAATGTCATCATACGCCCTTCTAGTCACTTATAAAATTATATTTTAATTTTAATGATTGCATTTTTAATTAAAACACTTAAATGTGATTAATAAAAGTAATATTTCCGCGGGAAAAATCAAGGAAAAGTAATTTGCTTAGAAAAGTGAATGTTAAATCGATGAAAGCGTTTAGTTAGAAAGATGTGAGAATTCAAGGACGAGTGTAGGGTGTTTGAACAATTAACGATGCAACCACGATCATAATGAATTCACCCTAGTTCCTTGGAATGTCACGAATGGCCTATACGTTTGTTAAGACAACCAACAACTAAATTCCCATGAAAACCATGTACTGTGATTTCTCGAATAAAATCATTTCTAACTAGCGCGGTAACTTTTGATCTTAACTTTTTAACGTAACAATTAAACGAAAACTAAACGTCAACATTTCAATCGATAATCAATGATAGTAATAATCACAATGATAAGAGAAGAAAAAGATTTAGCACTGTTTCCTGATAGACAACGATACTTCAAATGAAATGTCAGAAGATATCCATCGTAATGTGCTAACAAAAGAGGAACAAAGAAAGATAATCGAGGACGTGGCCTTGACATTAAAAAGACACCTTAGATTGAATTTATATCCTAACCCTTTCGCCTTTCATGATTTCTAATGATATTACACTCACAATCTCATTTTTAATTAAAGAATTACTACAACATCAACAACAACAACAACAACAACAACGACAAAAATAAATATAATAAAATAGAAAAAAAGAATATGATCAAGATTTTTCAGTCATACTTTAACATCATATACCGTTACGTTGTAGCATTTTATTTGATTATGTATACATTTATGATGAATGTATGTACATAAATGCATACCCATATGCCTCATAACGATTCGAGCGTTATTAGGCGATTTAAAAATCATTGCTTAGTATATTACGGTACTTTTCTCTCTTCGTTTCTTTACCACGTGCTTCTATATATATATAGTTCATGATTAACAATAAAATTCTTATTTATACAAAACATACTTCAGACGAAAATAATAACGTTTGCCAAGAATCGTAAGAATATTAAATATACAATATACATATTATTCGAAGTATCCAACTTGGCCCTAACATCGCGTGATGATAATATTTTTTTCAAGCAGACCTATACTCATAGTAAATAGCACTATACTATATTTTATATATCCTGCACATACACGTACATATATTTATATATCTGTGTATGTATCGATCAAATGAGATACTAGATCGAGAATCGTCCAAGTTCGTTTCTCCTACACTAACAAGTTACTATACAAATTTACTATTATTATGTTTAAGCATCAATACTAATGTAAAAAGATAAAAATAAGGTCATTTATCTATTTTTCTTTTTCTTTATCTCTCAATTAAATCATACAGATGGAAGATATATTACCTGTTAAATGTTTAGAATTGAATGCCGATTTCCGTAAAAATTGATTTATATTAAATATTAACAAATTAAATAATTTTTTGACAGATTTTAACAGCATCTTCCGATATTTCTATTGTTAACCCCCTCAATGTAAAGTAAATTGTTAGAACGGACTTTCTTACTGTGATATTTCTTGCAAACTACTATAAGAAACATGGAAAAACATTGTGTTAGGTCGTGGTTAAAAATAATAGTTGAGTTTTAAAATAAAAAGCAATTCGAAGAAAACTATTCATTCCTCGATAAAAATAGTCATAGAAAATATTATAAAGCATAATACTACGTAAGTTTTTCTTGATAAATAAATCCTACCTTGGCTACTATAATAAAAAGAGACATTGATTTTTTTTATTCATATAAATATCTAGTTTACTCTGAATTTACGTAACGATTTCAAACTGTGGACCGGTAGTATTTTTATACGCACATATGCATACATATACATAATTTACGTATGGTATACACGGAAGAATGATAATTACGGTAAAATCACTTTTATTCTTTGAAAAATTGTGTTCAGTGAACGGTGCACGTCGTTCGCTGCGTTCTACCTTTTTTCAGGGATGCTCCTCGCTTGAGATGCCTCGCCATGAAGGTTGAAAGTAGTTGCATTATATTTTCTTTTTTTCCTTTTCTTTTTACAGCTAAACTTTTCCCCGTTTCACCTGGTCACTCTCTCCGTATTTCTCGCCATAATTGTTATGAGGTTTATCGATCGGTAAACTTAAGAAACAGGTTACACCTTGAATATCGATCCTTCATTGTCGACACCTTTTTCTTTTTTTTTTTTTCTTTTTTTTTCCTTTTTTTTTTCTCCTTATTTTCTTATTATTTTCCTTATACGAAAAAGATGTATAAGTATACGCGTGCGTGCATATGTAGAACAGCGGCTTTGTATGCGTCAATTTGAATAGAAAGCGTTCGATTATATTTATATGGTAAAGAAAGTTGAACGACGTTTTATCGTGAAGGATTCTATAATTTTGTAATCGTTTAGAAAGAGATCAATCGATCGATATTAGCTGTTAACTTTATTAAATCGATCATCCTCGAATATTATTTATAGTTATTGTTCTATGCTTGTAAAAATGCCATTGTCCTCGAGACTTTTGTTTTGTTATATTGAAAAAAAAAAAATATATATATATATATATAGCGGTATCAATTAGTAACGATTATTCGAACAATTAATGACTAGATGATCAAATTTTAAATGATACGTGTTAATTTTTACTTATATTTGTACTTGTATTCAAAAACATTATTTGCATATTTCCATATGTTATCAATGAATTATTTTATAAGTCGTATAAAACCATATTTATATATATATATATATATATATATATATATATATATATATATATACAAAATTAATGATGAGTTAAACAATTTTCGTGTTAATTATTTTATAAAAATAAATCAATATATATAATAATCCTTTCTTGTTATTTGTAGAATTGACAAAAAAAAATATGTGATTAGAGACTATCGTAAATTCGAGATAATATAAAAAAATTAGACGAACATTTCGATGGACGAGTTTATTAATTAATGATTTTTTGGAGAACACGTGGTACCGATAAATTTGGCGGGAAATATTGGAAGTTCGCGTTAGGGATGAATAACACGTTCCTTCACGAAGGAGCCAGGATCAACTAACATTAGCTTTTTCTTTCCGTAAGAAGGAAGGATCTGTTGCGCGCTTGCGCAACCCTTCCTTTCCTGGAACATCAACCACTTCGATCTTTTGTATATGTATATTGCAAAATAAAACTTGTCGCGTCATAAACATAAAATTTCAAATCCTTTATTTTAAAAAATAAAAAAAAGAATTATATACATATATATATGAGTAAATTAATCAATACCATAAATTGATATTTTTAATAATTATTTTTTAAATATTAATATTACATATAAATATTGTAATATCCATTTCTTTATTTCCTTCTTTAAAATAATAATTTTGCATTTCGCATTTTTTTAAATTAAATCGAATGAAATTTATTTTTGATATGCAAGGAATAAAACTCCGATAAAAATTATTTCAAATGAAATACAATATGAGTAAACAACATATACAGTATATGGTATATAAATATAATAATCAATAAATATATATATATATACGATTTTTATCTAATAAAATAAAATGTTCATTTTTATATAAGATTCATTATATGAAATTTAATGAAACTTAAGATAAAAAATCGAGATGACAGATTGTTAAAATTATCCACGACCTTCGTAAATCTGCAAGAAAATTTCTTTCAAAGTCATGCGCTTGTTTCACATACCATCGGCGATCGGTTTCATTCATCTCATTATCCTATTCGATCGTATTCGCGGTCGACCTTTCGTAATTTAACAAGTTCCATGGTTATCGAAGCGTGGCTAACGCTCGGCTACGATCGTAGCTGCGAACAGCAAGGTGTTACAACTACGGTGCCATTACTAGCCACGATTACACACTTTAAAATTCCAATGCGCTATACACGTTGTGTGCGCTATTATAGTATACCAAAAAGGAAGAGAAAAAAGAAAATACTCATAGAGTTACGATGTCGGATACCTTTACCCTTGGCCAACCAATAAACCACCAAGCCACGCTTATTTTCACTTTGATTTTCTTAACTATTACTATATCTTCTAAACTTCCCCAATATACGCTATTATTACATTCCTTATAAGTCATTTTCTAACATTTTTTTTCATTTATAATAACACGAAATTATATTTCTAATAATGCACGAGATTTCATGTTCGATTAATATTTAATTGTAATAATTTTGTTATTTATTAAATTAACATGAATTATTTAATGTTTAACCATGAAAGGATCAACATTTATTTCTAATACTTAAAAAATATTCCATGATCTATCAATATTTAGTTTTAAAATAATTTTTTGTTGCAAAGTAGATAATTAAAAGGTATACAATTGATAGAAAACTGTATAAAATACGCTAAATAAATCTATACATAATATATTGATTAAAAGAAAGTTATAAGTAAAAGAAAAAATAATTCTAGCATTCCTTGATGTTCTTTACCTTGAATAAAATGTAAAAAAAAAATATTACCTATATCTTCATCGTGTCGTGCCAACATCATCCCATATGTACAATATGTACGATGCCCGTTCATGCGATTAATCGCAACGGTAAATAATTTGATAAACGACCTGCCGAGAGAGAGGATGAAAATATGCAGATTTCACACTTGATATTTCTCTTAGACCGTTATCATCGTAACTAACGATTAAACGTATAATACATTTTAGAAGAGTTTGAAATAGATATACATAAATATAATATATAAACAAACAAAAAAAAGAAAAGATAAAGATATTTTAATATTAAATATAAAAATTGAGAGGATATATATATATATATATTGTTTATAAACAATTTCTAAACTTTTTTTACTCAGTACAGTGTATCCTATATACCATATAAATGTTAAATAGTCCTTTTTGAATACCCTGTACATAACTCATGTATAAAAACTATTGTAATATAAGTATAGTGCATTATAGCATTAAAATAAATGTTAATTAATCGATAAAAACGTCTAATGTTGTCTAAAAGCTCGAAATATATGATCTATATACCATTCCCTTCGAGATTCACCTTCAGACTGGTACGTTGCCCTTTATGAAAATTCTTTTATTCAGTGTTGTTTATATGACTTTCCGAACGTTGCGCATGTGTGCAACGATAATAATATTCCTAATAAAGAAAATTTAAGATTATAATGTTCTAATTTTAGTATTTTTTACATTCTAATGTGATTATTTTATCGCTCCTGCGCAGTAATGATTTCAAAAGATAAAATATTCCTATAAAATAAGTAGAGTGTATTAGTGTATTAAAATAATTGTTAATTAATCGAAAGAAATGTATATTCTTGTTTAAAAGAACGGAATATGTGTTCGGAGCACCGTTTTCCTAGAAATTCATCTTCAGACTGTGTGCCAGTCTGAAGATGAAAATTCTTTTATTCAATGTTGTTTATATGATTTTCCGAAAGAAGAAATTCTATTTATTACGAATATTACTCCCGTTATACACATGTGAGACATAATATAAACAATATTTAACAAAAGAACTTTAACAGAGGACAATGACCCAGTTTAACGGTGCACTTTAAAGAATACGGTACATAGATCATATATTTCGAGCTTTTAGACTACAATAAACAGTTGCATCGATTAATTAACAATTATTTTAGTGCACTAATACACTCTACTTATATTAGAATAGTTAATATTCACGAGTTATATACAAGGTGTTCAAAAAAACCATTCAACATTTATATGGTGTATAAGATATACTGTACTGAGTAAAAAAGTTTTAGTAAACATATTATATATATATGTATATGTTGAGTACTCACAACTTATCATAGTTATTAACAAACTTGCTTGACACTTCGATCGACTATTAATTATACTAATGGCTTAGAAATAGATGGTAACAATCCTATCGGGACTTTAATATATTATAAATGAAATCTGAAGTATGTGTATCTATGTTCTCTTGAATAACAAGTAGCAACAGCAGTAGAACAGACTTGTGTTCATTGTTAAATCGATATTAAGTACAGGAGTGCGGAAATTCTGACGATAATTTATCAAGACCCGGCTTGTATGCCACACATGCACGCGCTTTAGACGCCATGTACCGTTCGATATACCGCATCCTATCGTACGATGAACCGTTTTTCAATTATTATTACTTAACTATAATTATATAACAACAACAACAACAACAACAAAAATCTAATCAAAAAAATATGTCATACGTTGTAAATATTTATTTTTTAATTCTTCTGACAACGAGAACTTAAATGAAAAAAATTGAAAATATTAATGTTATTATATTAATGGTTATATGATATCACGTATTTTTATAAATAATAAAATTACTATACGATACACATAAGATGATTTGATTATTTTCACTATACGAAATAAAACATGACACAAATTATTTTATAGTAAAAATTAATGAGAAACAAAAGATACAAAAACGTTTCAAATGTTTTTTCACGAAACGATATAAAATGAGATATAATTTAAAAAAAAAAAAATATTTTCCTAGAATGACATGATAGATAGAGATGATAGTTTTATAATAAAATTATTCAAAAAAGAGATATATTATTTCGTATATTTCGTATAACAAATACAATGAAAAGGATAATTCAAAAATGTTCCTAACAAAAGGAAGAAAAATAAAAGTTGACAGTTAATTAATACAATTATCCAACGTGAGAAAGATTTTTCGAGATTTCGGTAAAATACAAAATGAAATGAATAAATAAATAAATAATGAAATAAATAAAAAGAGACATATTCGTGAGATGAGCGATGTGGTAATGGACTGGAGCCGTTCGTTCGGTCGGTCACATTGCTTACGAGCTACTACCAGTTTGTCGTTGTCGACCTCTCCCTTTCTCTCTTTCTCTCTCTTTTTCTCTCTTTTTCTACCTTACTCACTAACTCTTTTATTTCTTTCACCAAGCCAACATCTGTCTTACGCGGCATGCCCTACTACGTTCATACTTGCAGCACAAACTGCCACGAACGTTCTCCAGTACGCATAACGACCCGTAGAAGAAGAACGAAGACCAAGACGAAGACGAAGAAAAATAAAATGAAAAAGAAAACTAAGAGAAAAGAAGTGAAGTAAGAGGAAGAAAAGAAGAAGCAGGAGGAGGAAGAGGGAAGGAAGAAGATCGACTTTATGGTGCAAGGTGCACGCTCTTCCCGCCTCGGGAATTTCAGAGAAATTCTTCGAGGAAAAAGTCCCAACCTCTCAGCGTTGCACCGCGAGTTACTTGTGATCGTTCAAGAACAACTGGAAGAAAGCTGAAATTCTGAAATAGAAAGAAAGAGAGAGAAAAAGAGAGAGAGAGAGCTTCAACATCAAAACTAACTCGAATTGTTTGACCTAACTAATATGAACACATTTTCTATACCACTTTCACGTATGTAGGTAAACAAATTCGTTAGATGTTTAAATACTCAAATGAAAGTCGCATTTGTACTTATCTAATATAATATTTTATTTTTCTCACAAAGACATGTATTGTAATGTGTGACGTGTTTTAAACACGATTGAAAATCACAAATATATTCATCTTCTTTTATGGTATTTCAATAAAATTCGATTTTATTTCAATATTATCGCAAATAAGAGAAAAATTAAATCTAAATAAAATCTTTAAAAATATCTTAAGATCATTGAATACTTATACATATGAGACAAATGATTAACGTAGATATTTTAATTAAAAAAAAAAAAAATATGATTGTTAACGAACAAAAACCTATAGAAAATCGATATAAACATAATGAATATGTAAATATCGCAAAAGAATTTCAGAAGAATGTATCTGAATACTCTCGTATGTTAGGAATATCAGTGAAAGGATATTTGTTAGAAATAAATGATATAAATATGCAAGCGATGTCGTTAAATTCCTTGAACTCCTCCCTCGCACGTGCCTAGGAGTTTGACTAAAACGTTAAAAGTATTTAAATATACTAACGTACTACCATGAGAAAAGATATTCCCATGTATTCTCGTGAATAATGCTGTATTTGTCTCTTGTTCTATCTCTCTCTCTCTTTTTCTCTGGTGTTTTCCCAAATGCAAGACTAGGGGGATATGTATATGGTAAGAAAAAGAAAGTAAAATGTAGAGTGAAGAGAAAAAGATAGTTTAGAGTCCGGAACGTTAGTAAACCTTTCGAGAACCTGTTTCCGCTTTTGTCGAAAGAATCGACAGCCTTCGGACAGCTTCCTATTCTATTCTCATTTACATATTTACACTGTGAGTTCGTTTTGAAAAAGGGGAGTCGATGAAACTCCTCTTTTTCTTCTTCTTCTTCTGTTTATTTTATTTTTTATTTTTTTATTTTGATTTTTATTCGTACAATGACAAATTAATGGGATTTAAACTTAAATCATTTCAATTTAAAATCTAATTACTTCGAAGTAATATTAGATCATCGTGTAAATCATGAAAAATAAAAAACTTAAAGAGAGAAAGAGAAAAATTATATTGATCGTCAGTATTGACGAGTTCCGTGAGTATTTATTATTAAACCGCACACGTGTGTACATGCGTAACGTAGACCTATTTTTCAGGCATACATCGTAACGTTTCATCGATATCGCACTCCTCATCGTTTTACAATGATAGAATAGATATTTGAAGAGAAACATTGAAAACAAAAAATAATCTCAAAAAAATACTAAAACTTAATAAAAATATTCTTCGTTATTCTAAAAAGAAAAAATTACTTTATCGTCTCATTTAATCATAGGATTTCTGAAATGCACGTTTGATATTGATCGATTGAAATTATTTGAATTCTTCACGAATTTACACGGATCTTTCAATAAATTAAAACAAACCAAAAAAAAATAGGAAAATTAAAATTTATTAAAAAATACAAGAACAAAATAATAAAAATCTTATAGAAGTTTACCGTGAGAAGATGCGATATGGTTGATCGTAAAACTACGGAATTCCTCTCGAGATCCGACTTTCTAACACTCATCTTTGTCGATCTCTCGATCAAAGGGTCTAAAATGTTCGATAAATCGACGATAAATCATCACTTATTTTACACAGGTAGTATTCGAATTTTAAATCTTTCCTGATGATCTAGAAAGTCATTTCTATGAAAAGATCGTGAAGAAAAAAATCCCCCAAAAAAGATCCAAACAACACTTAAGCAGGCTGGGCAAACTTACGCACGCAAATATACAGAAAACTTTCGAAATAACATGCATAAATATATATATATATATATTAATAAATAATAAAATGATGAATGAATCTCTGCGCTGGCGCAAACCTACCTCGTGTTTTCTTACGTCTTCATGTTCCTCCTGTTATATGTATATGTGTGTTTATTGTGTGTATATGTGCGTGCGTGTCCGACGTTTGCGCTGAGCGCCGATTTTGAATTTTCCACAATGGTCACATCTCTCCACGTTCGTGATTGTCTTCCTGGTCAGTTGAAAATATTTACGTGACACTGTTTATGTATCTTTTCTTTGATTATATTTTTTAAAATTTGTAGATGTATATATATGAAATGTAATAAATAGATAAATTAAATTAATGGATAAGATAACGAGCGAGCTCAGAAAACACAGCCGTTCTTGGCCACGAGCACGGCAACACTGACCTGCCACTACCGAGAGAGAGGAAAGAGAACCGACTAACTGAACTTCTCTCCTCTCCAGACCGTTCCCTTCTTCGTCTTCTTCTTCTTCTTCTTCTTCTTCTTCTTCTTCTTCTTCTTCTTCTTCGTCTTCTTCTTCCTCTTCTGCCTCCTATTTTTTTCTTCTCCTTCTATCTCTTTTTTTGGTTCTTCCACCTCTTCCGGTTCTTCCTCTTCTTTTACTTCCTATTCTCTTCTTCGAATTTTTTTTTCTTTTTTCATCTTCTATTTTCTTTCCCTTCTTCTACAACTTTTTTTCTATTTCTTCTTCTATGTTCTTGTTGTTGTTACCATAGTTTTTCAAATAGTTTCTTCTACCTTTCAACGTGTCCCTTTTTTTATACATTTACTTCCTCTTCTTTTTCTATGTTCTTGTTGTTATTACCATAGTTTTTCAAATAGTTTTATCTATCTTTCAACGTGTCCTCTTTTTATACACATTTACTTCTTCTTCTTCTTCTTTTTTTCATCACTGACAAATACACACGTACAAAAACCAATCCTGATTAAGTAGTTTTCATCATATCTATCACCAGTTGCTTCCTCTTTTGTATTATTTTTAACTGTCTCGCTACGATTACCTGTGATATGATAACACTTGTGTCACAAAAATCATTTAACTTATAGTCAATCTAATATTATTTGAAAAATAATAATTTAAACGATTAGATACGACACATTGGCTTTCCCTTCAATTTATATCCGATTGATCTTTATAAAAAACATGTAAATAATTTTTTTTAAATATTCATAATATTTATTTGTTTGATCAATAATTATTTTTCTTCTTTTTTATTTGAAAACGTTTGACATTTTACATCTAAATAAATTACATGTTTAAATAATAACGCATTTTTAATATTTTTCTAATATTTTCTATTCAAATGAACACCGATATTTTTTAAATAAATAATTTCGATATTACTCATTGACCAATCTAATATTTATTCAATTACGATTAAATACAAATGAAAAAGAAGAAAAAAAGAAAAATTTCACAAATCTTAATAAACTTTCCAAACGTTCTAATACAACATTAAAAATGTGTATGTTTTTTTTATATGTAAATACAGATGTGAAAGTATTCGAAGGCTGTTGAGTCTTAGAATTAATTACTTCTAATCACGAGATATTTAAAGGCCTTAACATTTTCTTTGCATTTATCATTAGTTTATACTACTAGCATTAATGAAATGTTCCATGAATACACATGATGCTCTACTAAAGAGGAAGTATACTCTAACTATTTCTTTTTTTCTTAATTCAAAAGGGTTGATGAAGTTACGGAAATACTTTCAGAAGCCATAAGAATTAGGAGAATATGAAACGCGTGAGGGACATAGATATATTTTCCACACACGAGTTTATATTTCCCGTATCAAATAAAAAAAAAAAAACACATTGAAATCATATCTACGTGCACATAAAAAAAAAATATTTATTCGATCAAACAAATTCGAGCAGTTACTTGACGTATCAAAATCAATTTATTTTCTTATTTAAAAATGATTTTGTATCTTGAATATTATTCACTGATAATCAATAGAACGAGTCGAAATAAAATGAATCATCAACGTGATTTCGTGTTACCCTAAATTCGTAGAAAAAAAAATCAAATAACATTAAAAATGGATGCACGATAATACAGCATTGAACTCACCATTGACGTGTTATTATTTGAAACTAAATTAAAAACTATAGGATAATCCAAGGACACGTTAACGTCACACGTTAGTTGGGTTTTTCAATTCTCTTTGAGTAATCCCATGGAAAAAGGCATAGTGTTCTTGTTCCATGGGGAACGTATTGTTGCCATCGTCAGCTGCACCGCTTTAAACGAGCACGAATGTTCGTTCGTTCGAACGAAGCTAACATGCACGCACTTATAGGGGGAATGGGGGTTGCCTTGTACTGCGTAGAAGAAACAGGAAAGGGGAGGAAAGAAAGAAAGAGAAAAAGAGAGATAAATAATAAGAGCGAGAGAGAAAAAGAAAGAGAGAGAAAGAGAGAGAGAATGAGATAGAATGAAAGAAAAAGAGGGTTTCTACTCCCCATTGTCCCTAGTGTGTCTGCATACTAGTTTCACTCGACGATAATTGCCACCATAAATTGACTATCAACGAACATAAATGTCCTTTCTTAATTATCACCATCTTAATAAGGAACAAACGTTCTTTCTAAATTACGAGATTGCATTGAAGTTAAAAAATGTTATTTATGATTTTAATCGTTCGCGAGTTTGTTGATGGCCAATCTAAATAGCAATCGGTTCTTCTTGCTAAGTTACAGTTATTTAAAGAACAATTACATTAATTTTTTAATTTCTAATCAGCAAAACACTTTATCCAACAATTTTTATGTTTAAAAATAGTTTAGAAATATAATTGAGTAATTAAGGTAAGTATTAATTTGTTAAAAACTGATTTAAATGTTAAATACAGAGATCTGTGATCGAGGGGGTTTGTAATTGCTTTGTCGAAAATTTTAATCTGTCTTACACTGTAAAATATTAAAATGCATTTGTAATAAATGCAAGAATATATTCTTTTGTACATTCAATAATTTATTTGCATTATTATCATTATTTGTATCATTTTTATTTATTAATCATTCAATATAAAAAACGGGAATTTATATTGAATATGAAATTAAATAGAACAAAGATATTTCGTTGAATTCTAACATGTCCTTCGATTAAAAAATATTAAATTATACTTATAATAAGTAACAAATATTTTTCCAATACTCATTGATATATTTTTTTGATTATCTTTGTTTTTTTTTTCATTTTTATTTATAAACAATTTAAAATATAAAAAAAGGAACTAAAATCTAGGGGATTCGATATTTTCTCTAGGAATAAAACGATGACGTCACCTGTCATGCGTATACTTGTGACTGAGTAACCACACAGATCGATCCATTTGTTTACTGAGGTTGTCTGCTAGTCCTTTGCTTGATCTGTCAGTGTTTAGAAAATAAAATAACATATAACATGCTTTAAAAAATTGTTCTTTTTTTTATGTAACCGTTACGCGTCGATCAACGGTACTGCAATGCCGGGAACAGGAGTTAGTATACTTTTTTCAACAATACGTTATTTATAACAACGAGTATTATCAAGTAGATAATTGCATTTGTCGTTTGACGTTTGTCCCGTTGACAATTTGACAACTATTGTATAAGCTATTTTGACAGAAGGAGAAAAGAAAGATAAAAGATGATAGATAATTGCAATTAATTTTACACCTATATCATTAAATTTAATTTAATTTTTTTTTTTTTAAATTTTTTTGTCAATATATTTAATTATATTATCTTTTATATTCCTATTTTTGCAATCTATTTTTTAGAATTATATTTTTAATTCTAACATACAATTTTATTTTTTATTTCATTTAGGATAATGTCGCAGAACTAGGAGAGATAGAAAATGTCAGAGTTGTTGTTCGTGTTCGACCATTAAATGGAAAGGAGTTGGACGGACACAGCAAAAACATAATAAAGGTTGATGCATTGAATAGCGAAATAACTATTAACAATCCAAATGCAGCTCACGGTGAACCCCCCAAAGTTTTCTCTTTCGATGCCGTCTTTGATACGGATTCTACTCAAGTCGACATTTACAATGAAACCGCTAGACCTATCGTTGATAAAGTTTTACAAGGATATAATGGAACAATACTTGCATATGGCCAAACTGGTACTGGTAAAACATATACAATGTCGGGTGCTAAAACTCCTCCTCAACTTAGAGGTGTTATACCCAATACCTTTGCTCATATATTTGGGCACATAGCTAAAGCAGATGAGAATCAAAAGTAAGTATAATCATAGTATGTTTAAATGATGAAAATTACAGTATTCAATTGTACAGATTTCTTGTACGTGCAACCTACTTGGAAATTTACAACGAAGAAGTAAGAGATCTTCTTGGCAAAGATCAAACTACTCGATTAGAGGTCAAGGAACGACCTGATATTGGAGTCTTTGTGAAAGATCTTAGTGGCTATGTCGTTAATAATGCTGATGATTTAGATCGCATCATGTCACTTGGCAATAAGAACCGTAAGTTCGATGTCTTTCTTATTTTATTATTATTAACTAGTGTTAGGAACTCAAAAGTTCATTGCCACAAATACCAAATTCCGCCAGTGTTTTGTCCCATCGTATTAGAATTTCAAACATTTTCTCTTGTTTTATCGAATCATACACTTTTTGAAAATTAACATAAAGTTGGTGTACTGGTTGATCAAATTCCCATTTTTTCTCCAAGATTTGGTGTGTAGTCGATTTATTTTAGTTCTATCTAAAACTGCATTTATGATCCCCAATTATCTCATCTGCATATGGTACCATGTTCTTTCTTATTTAAAAAAACAAAATATATTAAAATATGAATAAGACATTAAAACGAAATAAAAATAGTTTACCTTTGTAGGCATTGTGGGAGCAACTGCTATGAATGTTTCCAGCTCTAGATCTCATGCTATATTTACAATAACTGTTGAATCCAGTCAACTTGGCGAAGACGGAGAGCAACATGTTAAAATGGGAAAACTTCATTTAGTGGACTTAGCTGTACGTAATAGATATAAAATTTTGTTATAGAAATATATATAATAAAGTGATTATATTTTAGGGTTCTGAAAGACAAAGTAAAACAAAAACAAGTGGAGTAAGACTTCGAGAAGCTACTAAAATAAATTTATCATTGTCAACATTGGGTAATGTAATATCTGCTCTTGTCGACGGGCAAAGCTCTCATGTGCCTTACAGAAATTCAAAATTGACAAGATTGCTTCAAGATTCTTTGGGTGGTAATTCTAAAACATTGATGGTATGTATTTATTCAAGATTTCATTCAAAGTAAATTAAATATTACGTATAGTATTATACATGTTAAAATATAATTCTATGATTATTTAGTGTGCAAATGTAAGTCCTGCTGATATAAATTACGATGAAACTATAAGTACTCTACGTTATGCTAATCGTGCTAAGAATATAAAGAATAGAGCAAGAATAAATGAAGATCCTAAGGATGCTTTGCTTCGTCAATTCCAAGTAGAGATTGAACAATTAAGAAAGCAACTTGAAGAAAATATTACAGAATTATCAGAAACAGAATCTGAAACGGAAGATTCAGAAGATACAGGAGAACCACGACGCGAGAAGAAAGCAAGACACAGGAGAAGTCAAATGTTAACGATGGAAGAATTAGGTGACAAAGATGTAAATACGGAAAAAGTAGATAAAGCAGAAAGAGATGACAAAAGTCCAGATGATAAAGATGTTATCGAATTGAAAAGAACACAGTAAGTATAAAAACAAAACAAGCATAGAATATTGTACCACCTGACGAAAAATTTCTATTTTATAGAAGTGAAAAGGAAGCCTTAAGACAAAAAATGCAAAATTTACAAAATAAAATATTAGTCGGTGGTGAAAATTTATTAGAAAAAGCTGAAGCTCAGGAACAATTATTGGCTGCCGCAGCTATCGAACTTGATCAACGTAAAAGTCGAGAGGAACAATTAAAAAAAGCTATAGAAGAAAAAGAAGCAGAACGTATAGACATAGAAGAAAAATATTCCTCTTTGCAGGAAGAAGCAGCTGGAAAAACTAAAAAATTAGCAAGAGTTTATACGATGCTTATGTCCGTTAAAGCTGAATTATCCGATTTGCAGGAAGAACATCAAAGAGAAATGGAAGGTCTCTTAGAAGGTGTTAGAGGTATCGGAAGAGAATTACAACTTCAAGAATTAATTGTGAATAACTATATACCATCACAGTATCAAGTATGTATATATTAATTAATATTATGTATTAAATTTATATTTGAAAATTTTTTAAAAGTAATCGTTTTAACAAGTTAATTATTTATACGTATTACAGAGTATGATTGAAAGATATGTTCATTGGAATGATGATATTGGTGAATGGCAATTAAAGTGTGTAGCATATACCGGTAATAATATGCGTAAATCACAAGTAATACCGCCTATTGGAAATAACAGAGATGTAAGTTGTTCAAAACAATATTTGTTATTACAATTATCTTGTATATATTCTATTGAAATTAATTTATTTTTATTTCTATAGCAAATACAACCTGATATGTCAAATATATATCTCACATATAACACAAGAACGGATAGTACGTTTATACAACCGAAAAAGGTAAGAAGTCGTTCCGGTGTACCACGACCAACTACGGCTCATCGACGTACACCACACTAAAGGAATATTAGGTTATGAAATAATAATTATGATATTTCAAATCTTACTTAGCATTTTTTAAATAATTTTTTCTAATAAGTAGTAATAAATTTATTTATTTATTTTTTATTCAATGTGATAATTTCTAACGTCAACTTATGCACATTGTAGCACATATATTAAACGAGGTGACTCTTTAACTTATCCAGTAGTATTGCTAATATATAGAATACATAAAGTCACTTCGATGTGTGCTTCATGCAATAGTACGGTGATATTCTTACGTATAATTATAGTTATACTTCTCTTCAAATTATTTTTGATGAATTTTTTGTAATCGAATTTATTTGAAATACTTATTTTTTTCTTTTAATATTCTTTTACACGCGTCGAGATATTTATTATAATACGATGATATTAATGATATCATTATATCATTCCTTGTTATTTCTATCAATTTGTCCTATTTTAATTAAATTTTTGAAAATTTTTCTATGTACATCAATTGTAATTATAACAAATTGTTATATATTTATTCTGTAATGCAATAGAAAAAATTGCAAGATGCAGACCAAATAATGAAACTTAAATGAATATTATAATTTCAATATACACAATATCTATCCCTTTTATCATGATATTTGACACAGATCATTTCCAAAGGAAAAAAAAAGAATTATAATAGAGAAGAAAAGTATGTTTATCATACAGTACCTGTGTTATTAGAAATAAAAACCTAATAAATATCATGCCTCAAAGGCAAGTAGGATATTATTGATGCATGTCAAAATATTTAATAACAGCTGACAAAATTTATTACATGTTTTTACATTATCATCGTATAAGAGATTTTTGATAAACAACACGTCTCGATAAAGTCTGCGTGTATGTGAGAACAAATACTCTTACAATTAGAGACGTATTGTAATCTAACAATACCAAGATTTCCCTGTTAACTTGGTATAGACTATCATTATAATTTATTTATTTATTGTATAAAACCTATTTCTCGTCTCCGTCTCTAAATCGATCGATCAATGTTCTTATCTCTGTCTTACTATAATATGTCGTTTAAAGAAGCCATTGAATTAAAATAATAGAATTATAGCAAGGTTTTAACGAATGATATATATTTTTGATCGAACCAAAAGAATCTAAGCGAACCGAAATAAATAAAATATAAAAAGAATATAAAAAAAAATGGTTATAGAGCCCTTCAATTATCGAGCCTGAATTGACAATGCGTTTAAAACACCAACAATATTTATTATCTCATATACTTTGTATGCTCTTTAATCTTTTGTAGTTACTTATAATGCATTTATTAAGTACTGTGATAATGAAACGCTTATATTATTTCGAATGTTTTTCTTTTTCTGCACTTTATTTACACATAATATAAGAATCACGATAATTAGACTTTAATAATTATAATTATCTGCGTATGCTGCCTTTGTATTTATAATTTAAAAAATAAAATTTAATGATAACATATACACATAAAGTTGTTTTATATAGAACCACTTTCGCATAAAACAGCATCTGTTAGAAGAAAAAAAAAAGAGAAAAGAAATATTAGAAAATTAGACTACTAATATTCTATTAATCTGTTCTTGATATTCCTTAATCCACTGTTTTATAAAATTACGATGATATACTCTTGCTAATGTAACACTGTAAGGATCTCTAGGATTGCTAGCTCTCAAATCAATATGATGAGCACCGTCGGGAATAATCATAGCAACTGCAGAGGAAGACAAATTCTGTAATATGCCACCACCTAACCATGGATCTATCAATCCATTACTAAAAAAAAAAGGAAATTAGTTTCTCATGTATCAGATTAGTTACATTATTTATCTACAAAACTCTTACCTAAAGACAATATTAGTCGCGGTTGAAAGATCCTTACAACCATATTCTTTACAAGCCATGTATGGTTGAGAACGTACACCATATTTCTTATAACATTCGTCGCTTATCTTTTTAATATCCCAAGGCTCATATCTAAACATGTCTTTAATTCCATCGCTGCAAAGACCCATAACAATTTCACTGCATGCTTGATAATCCCAAGCATCGGCGCCTAAGTTTCCTGAGCTATTCATTGTATCTGTACAAGTTGCTTGACCCGTATAATTCGTGAAAATACTTAATGCTTTATATAATGCAGTTAACAATGGTCTTCCTGTTAGAGACGAGTTCGTTAAATGACTGCAGAAAGCCTGTAAAGAATAAATAAACAAAAATAAATATCGTTTTAAAAATTTATTCCACGCATTCATTTAATTAGATTAACTTTTGTAATCATTGCCACAAATAATATCTGCTTACTTTTACAGGTTCGGGAGGCAATGGTACTAAAAAGTTAGTTTCGTACGGATAATTAAGCATCGCGATATTTCCATAAACATCTTCCAAGAAATTTTGTAATTCTTCAACCTGTGTTGAATTTTTAAGCGGCTTACATAATTTCCAATTGTCTGACAACCATTTTTTACCCTCGTCTATTAATAAAAAGACAAAATAAAAATAAAAGTAAAAAGATATCAGAGAAAAGAAATATATCCATCAGTTTATACCGTTCGACGTGAGATTGGTTATTACGTTCCATGATCTTTTAATCAATTTCGGACACGTTTCATCAGCCGCACGATAACTAGACGTCGCTATTCGTGCAAATGTTTCGCAAGGAGTGATATCAGTGAATTGTAAAATCGGAGCTGATGCAGCTATAGCTCTGTAAATATATAAATATAATGAAATATATCATTTAAAAATTATTGCAGAAACTAACAACATATAATATCTGAAGCTAAACGCGTGCACAAAAAGATAATAACAATGTTTTTTTCTTTGTTTATCGTTTCTTTCTTTTCTTTATCGTTTAACGTGTTTTATCGTCGCTATTATTAATGGTTTAATATAAACAACTTTCCCCTTTCAGAAATGACACTATGTTATAGAGATTAATATGTGTGAGATTAATGAAGTAGACGATAAAGTGAAAGAAAAATGATATCTATCAAAAATAAATATGAATTATCGAGAGTTGTTATTTCTTTAAATAACACACCCTTGAACAATGTGAGGATATTTCAGACGCATCCATGCGCTGAGCATACCGCCGTACGAACCACCGAAAACAATAACAGGACTGTGCTCTCTGACCTTATTTGATCTCAAATATTCGATAAGATCAACATAATCAGCAATAGCTTGTTGGGAGGTCAAATATCCAGAATGTGCAGGATTGATAAATGATTTATTTCCAAATGGCATAGATGAACCATAATATCGATGCTCTGCAAAGACCAATATTGCACCAAATTCTGGTGCTATTTCCCACATAAATCCCTGAAATGAAATGCTTGTTAATTTCTTTTCAATCAAATTGAATATGTAAAATAAAATATAAGGTTATATATTTATAATTACCGTATTTTTGGCGAAAACTTCGATGTCACCTTCATTTCCTGTGTAAAAAAAGATAGGTGCATTATTTCCACGTCGCCACGTATCGTTAAAAAGATATCGGATATTAAATTTATCTTTTACTGCAAAACTAAAATGGTCTACCTGCAAATAAATATTATTAACCTTTGTATTAATTCTTAAGCTCTTGAACAAAAATGGCTATTGATAAATAATAATATATATAATATATATGTATACTACATTTGTAAATTACTAATTTGTAATCAACGAATATATAATTATATATATTATAGTATATAAATTAATTATAAATACATACTTACAGGAACTTCAAAAGTTTTGATTTCGTATTTGTATTTCGCGCCAAAATCATTGTTATGGTGTTCTTTTGTGTTTATGGAACCAACCATTTGTGTTAAATGAAATCGATTAAATAAATTAAGTTGTAACGTCAATGGCAACAAGAAAAATATCACAGGGACAATTAACGTCCATTTTTGTTTCATTATAACAAGTATTCTTGGTGAAGTTTAGAATGCAACTGATGCGATTCAGTACGTGCAGTGATCCCATAAACTTTTGCTTGTCTGATCGACACAGTGCCGTAAAATTATCAGGTTCTCAGTACAATTATCGTACGCACAGAAAAAAAAATCAGATCTGATTTTCTGAAAATTCTAGATTTAGGATTTTAGGACCTCAAAAAAAAAAAGTAAAAACTTGTCCTTTTTCCTGACCATCTGACTATTGTATGTATTGTATGGTTATCTCTGTTCTATGTGGCTAAAAAATGACTGTAGCCAATCAAAAAATTGAAATACCGCTCTTTTAACCGCGTAACAAAAACAAAATCACAACATATCGAAAATTATATTTAAATATGGAATAATCGTAAATTATCGTACAAGTTGGATTTTTGATCGTACAAGGCTTCAAATTATGTGACGTGTACGATAATTATCGTACGAATGTGATCACTGACTGTACGTGCTAACGCTTATAAATTGCGACAATCTTACCCAACATTTTTAGAAAAAATACGATCTCTTTTTATTCGCAGAATGAATAAAATATTATGGTATTTAATATTTATGAAGTATAAGCTTTGAATGTGTTAATGTATGTTCTACGGCAAAAATTAATAATATTAGTGTCTTTTTAAATCTAATTTTTATTTCCCTATAATTAAATCAAGTAAAGAAAATTCTAAGTTGTGCTATATCAGCGCCATCTTTAAAGAAAGCTCTCGAAGGTTATCGAACAATCAACAACATAATATTAAGTCATCGATATGTACATATGTAAGCATTTATGCATTTTTCTTTTGTTAGATCTAAATTATATTTTTCATTTTTATCATTTTAATAAACCTAATTATACAATAAATTATATATATTATACATATATAAAAGTATCATAAACTAATTAAATAATATTAAATATAAAACAGAAATAAATAAACAATAAAATGAAACTTATTCTTTAATCAGATGGGTTAATAAGAAAAGAATAGACGTTAACGTATTTTTTCAAATGATTGATTTCACATACATAATGATACATATAGAAAGCGATATATTCGTTCCTTTGTAAAATAAATCAATTTGTGGCCCTGAAAAGGGCCGATTTAATAAGCCAATGTCATTTTTACTCCTTTAACCTCCAAATCCATAAAGGGTTCTGCCTTGTCTTTTCAATGCATAGACAACGTCCATGGCGGTAACAGTTTTTCTCTTAGCGTGTTCGGTATAGGTGACAGCATCTCGAATAACGTTTTCAAGAAAAACTTTAAGTACACCGCGTGTTTCTTCGTATATCAAACCAGAAATACGTTTGACACCACCACGTCGAGCTAATCGACGAATAGCTGGTTTGGTAATACCTTGGATGTTATCACGTAGAACCTTTCTATGGCGTTTAGCTCCTCCCTTTCCCAATCCTTTTCCTCCCTTACCACGACCAGTCATTATTAATTGATTTTACTTTTAAACTCTCGAAGATAAATCGCCTAACCACTCAAGACCTTATAAAACTCGAATACGTCCGACCACGCCGTGCGTCGCCTTTTATAGATTAACCTAACATCTTCCCCCACTATTCTATACTATGGACCAATCAAAATGAAGACACGATGGAATTATATATATATGTTATGTGATTTTAACGAAGTTCTTTTTGAATAATGTTTCGTTTTTTTATAATATTTAAATATACGTGTATAATAAATCTATAAATATATACGAAACTAATTAAAGTAATCTTTGAGTATAATATATTTAAGAGATAAATGAAATATGTTTCGTTACTTAATGAAAATTAAAAGTTTTTTGTTAATAATATACATTTTCTTTATTATGACCACGGAGTCTAGATACCAGGAGGGCGATCGACATAGGAAAATAACTAGCAAACGCGACTAGAAAAAAAAAGGAAAGATTATTTTCGGAAATACGCCGCTAGGTTTCGTTATGTTCGCTAATGTCAAGTTTATAACGTCATATTTTTCATTGACAATTGTTGACAAYACTGCATCATTAGCAATTGTATTAATGTTTTTTTAATTTATAAAAAGTAATATTTATTTCAAAATGGTAAATAAATGTATTGTTCACGGGTGTACAAGTGGACGAATCAAGAATCGTAATAAGAATGCTAAATTAAATCAGAGAAATACGTCTTTATTCACTTTACCACAGGTAATATAACCTTAATTGATAATTATTAATTACTAATATAAAAAAATGCAATGATGTAAATGGTTAAAAGTCTAGTCCTGTAAAAAGTGCAATTTACGATAATAAATTACAATTTACTTTTAATTGGACTTTTTAAATTTAGTTTTCCATCCTTTACTCAACTGCGACTAGGTAAGATGAAATTGAATAGATTTACATAACAAGTTGACGATAATATCTTGGAAATAATTGTAAAATAATAAAAAAATTTTTCTTATTGCTACTTTGAACGTTAATTATAAGATTTGGTTAATTTATTTTGACTAACGCGTGAGTACAATAGTTACATTCCCGCGACAATAAACTAGGTTTTAAAAACCTGATATTAGCCACACTAACGCGCTCTAGTGGCAAAAATCTATCCCCTCATTTTCGTACATTTCTAATACATTGCGATCGCCCTTCTGTTATCTAGGCTCCTTGATTATGACCATTGACCAATGACCTGCAAGAACTTCTCTTACTTACTGCTGATTGGCTCGCTATCTCTTATACACAGTCGTCGTTTATTTCCTTTTGAAAAATTTTTTTGTTACTTATATTTGAATAATGTGTGAGGAATAAATATTCTAAACATAAAAAAATAAACATATAATCTATAAAGTATTTTTTTTAATCAATATCTTTGTATTATATTAACATTGAAGACATGAATATAAATAAACTAATATGTTTAATGTTACTGTAATATTGCACTAAATTGAAATCATTTTAAATATATGTAAATATCTTTTCAATTTTAGATAATGCATATGTAAACAACATTTCTTATAAAAAAAATATTTTGGAAATTTTAATCAAAATAAAGACCAATGAAATCAACCGATAGTGGCGTCATGCTAGGTTAAAAAATCGAATTTTTAAGCTGACATCCGGTTATTCATTTAGCAATGTGGAGTGAAAAAAATATCTAATCATGGAAACGTAGTTTTAATATCAAACATATGATATTGTGTATTTTTTATGTTTATATTTTTTTTACTAAATAGGTAAAAGTATGTATACATGGCGTATGTGTTTATATATAAATTCTAATTTTGTTTATATCTTTACTAAATAATAAATTAATCACAGACAATTAATTTATTTGAAACACTACTTTTTAATAATCTCAAAATATATAGCAAAGTGAATTATTTAGTAATTAAAATATTTTATGAATTGCAGGGTAATATTTGGGTATAAATATTTAATAAATAAATAAATAATACAAATAATGAGTTGCCAAAAAGGAAATACGAAACGGTCTAGGCCTCAGAAATATAAAAATCAAACTGTTTTTAAGAATGATCTACATGACAAATCTCACAAAACTAAATTTATCAACAATATTGAAGTAGCAAATGTATGCGAAAGATGTAAAAAAATAATTGAGTGGAAGATCAAATATAAGAAATATAAGCCTCTCAAGGCACCAGCTAAATGTACTAAGTGTGAAGAAAAGACAGTTAAACATGCTTATCATACAATGTGTCTACCTTGCTCAAAGGATCTTAAAGTTTGTCCTAAGTGCTGTGAAAAACGTGAAGTAATAGAAGCTAAACCAAACAAAGAAGAAATGATGAAAATGGATGCGGAGACACAGATGTTCTTGAAACAATTACCTGAAAGGAAACGTAGAACGGTTATAAGATATATGAACCGTAATTGTAAATATAATCAATATTTCCATATTTAAAGATTCTATACGTATAACTATATAATACATATATTTTATTTCATTTAGGTAACTCAAAGAACACTGATTCTAAAACTAGTAATGATGAGAACGAAGATTCAGAAGAAAGCGACGATGGAGAAGAGAGCGAAAAGAATACAGAAAAATCATCTTTAAAAAAAGATTTAAGAATTAAGAAAGATAATTGTAATGACGATTTTACTGATAATTCGGAAGATGATTTTAGTGATAATTTAGAAGAAGATTCGGAAAATGAATTGGAAGATGATGGGATAAAAAACTTAAAAATAACTTAAATTATAATCCGACAAAAAATAATCATTTTAAACTAGAAGATCATTTGAATAATTATAATTTGGAATAGTAGTATGTAGTTATTTTATATTAAAAATATATTTGTAAATTATAAATTGTATTATTTTATTATATTAGATTAAATTTCTTCTTTAATCATAATTATAGTATTATATTAAATTATTTTTATACAACACAACAATAATTGCTGTGAATATTGCTATATATAAATCTATACTATATTCACTATAGTCTTTTATAATTTACTATAATTTATCATTATATGTAAATTTTTTATTTTTATTTTTGATAATCTTTTAAGTTTTAGATATTTTTACTTTGCCTTTTTTTTAGTAGAAATTTACTAGCAAATGGAAAACGTAGAAAGTAGACCCAAGGTTGATTGTCTAACCAAAGGTATATAAGTTAAATTCATTTGTACATTATAACAATAATCTCTGAACATTTATTATTAAATGTTTAAACTTAGGCCCTGGACCAGTTTATAAATTACCAACATTAGTTGGATATGTTGGACACGATCCATCTAAGCGTAGAGGTCCAGCATACAGTATAAGATATCGTGTAGGATTAGATCAAGAATCGGTTGGTCCTGGTCCACGCTATAACATCAATAAATTAACAAAATTTGGAATAGATAAACCACCTGCATTCACTATAGCTACTAAATATACTGATCCAAGTAAAAATATGAAATGAATTAATCTGCAAATATATATGCTTGTTAACCATAAAAATTATATGTGTAAGATACATTCAATTTTATGACTAAATTAAATATAATTTTTTATAGTTTTAGATTTAGGGCCAGGACCTGGCGCATATTCACCTGAACAATGTCTACCAATGAATCATAGTCGTAGAGCTCCTGCTTATAGCATCAAATCTAAAGGTCTAGCAATGCAAATTCTTGAAGGGCCTGGACCAAATGCTTACACAATACCAACATGTATAGGTTCTAAAATACCAGATAAGAAAGCACAAGCTGCTTATACTATGTGTGTATATTTTATTATTCAATTAATCATAATTGATTTTTCTTTTTTAATAAATAATATAATATTTATTTTCAAGCGGTGGCTATTACGAACCACCATTAGACAGTTTAAGTCCAGGTCCAGCGGCTTATGCGAATATTAATCCAAATATTGTAATGAAACGCAGTCCAGTATACAGTCTTAAATGGCGTCATGAACTTCCTGAAGATTATCTGAGTCCAGGACCACGTTATAATCCTACTTTTAATACTGGAAGACGTGCTCCTAAATTTTCGTTTGGTGTTAGACACAGTGAATGTGCAGGAAATCCTATTTCGAGTTTAGACGAAGATTGAATGGAAAGAAAAATATGTACGCGGTTTTGTGTTGGTTGGATCGACGAACATTTGTACAAATTGTATAATAATTTTATATATTTTTACACCTTGTATTTAATAAATGTGATGTGTCTTCAATCAGACATGTATATTCCTATATTCCTTATGTGTATCAACGTATATACACATGTATAAATGTGTGTACACAAATTTGGTAGATCCAATTGGACTTTCAATTGTTTTTTTTTCTTCTAATCAAAATGAAGTTGACATAATTTAAAATATTTTCATTTCTAATAGATACAAATTTTTCTGTAAAATATGTAAATTAATTTGAAATTTATAACAATGCCTCCCAAGGCGGCTAAAGCCGCGGGTAAAACTGGTAATATGAAAAAGCCTGCTAAAATAACAGATGCATCATTTTGCGGTTTATCCAGTAAGAATTCTATTTAAAGATATTACATTTTATTTAACATAGTGATCGCTAATTTACTAAACATTAATTAAAACAAAGCTCCAGGACCAAAATACAAATTGAAAACGCTCATTGGTCATAAAGACCATTGTATCTCGAAATATAGAAATCCAGCATTTACATTTGGTATGAGAGAAATATCTGGAGATTTGTGTACAAGTCCTGGACCAAAGTATATGCTGCAAGGATTGAAACCAAATGGTTATACATTTGGACTTGCTTTAAAAATGACTGGTAATTAATTTCACTGCTATTTTAGTATTTTACTTGTACTTATCGAAAGTATATTATAATATTAAAATTGTCTTATTTTGGTGGATTACAGATAAAACTATTGGTCCTGGTCCGAAATATTCTGTACCATCTCCTAGAAGCGGTCCTATGTTTTCTCTAAAGTGGCGTAAAGCTCACAAAAAGGGTTGCGTAACACCTGGGCCTTATAACGTCAAACGCATCTTTTATGGACCAAGTTTTAGCATGTAAGTATATGCTAATATATTTTTTCTTATCTAATGAATTATTAATTCTGTATAATTTTATTTTTACAGAGGATTAAAAATTCCTGATCTTAAATGTGTCGGTGGACCTGGACCTTCTGCGCCATATAATTTGGATATGATTAAACCATCATCACCAATGTTCAGTATAGGTTTTTTACTTTCTGACAAAGACGTTTGTCGGAGTCCAGGACCTAAATATAATCCTAAAAAATTAGATCTCTCACCGCAATATTCTTTTGGAATAAAACATAGTGTCTGTGCACCACCGAACATCACTGAATGTGACGATATTTGTTAGAACATCAATTCATCTGTTAAATTCGTTCATTCATCTAGGGGTACAAACGTTAGATTAATTTCTTTAGAAATTTTTCCGCTTATTTCTTTCCAATACAAGACCACCGTTTGTGATTCTTTAGGTTCAACATCAATCGTTTTAATAGTAACATTATCTTCTGAATTAGTTGACTCCACTGATGATGGTTCAAATACAAAATTGATGCAACGCATTATACAAAAGTAAAGCATTTCGATTAAACTGATTATACTAAGACCCAAAAATAAACTACATATACCTCCATAATTACCTATAAACATGTTATGATAAATAATAATAATAATAATACTAATACTACTACTACTACTACTACTAATAATAATAATAATAATAATAATAATAATAATAATAATAATAATAGTTATAATAATAATAGTTATAATAATAATAATAATAATAATAATAATAATAATAATAATAATAATAATAATAATAATGATAATAATTTGAAACTTAATGACGTATTAAAAAGTATTTAACACTTACTCATTAGTTCATACCAATAGAAAAGCATATCTTGTCTTATTTTTGTTGTTCTAGGAGATCCAAAATAGATATGCACTAAACTGTGATTATTGATATAAGTTCTTTTCCTATTTAAAATAGATTTCAATTAATTTCATTATTTCTATTAACACTAGATTGCCCAAGGCAGTCATTTTGACTGTTTTTTATTTTCAATTAGAAAAACAATTATGTATATAATGACACAATTTCTTAGAATTAATAATAATTAATTAATTAATATTGTTAATATTTACTAATAACTTGTTGTATAACTGTAAATAATATAAGAAATATTAAAAATTAATTTTAAACAAATTTGTTTACACATTAGTTATTTTTTCACAATGCAGTCATTTTGACTGTTTTTGGGCAATATAGCTATACAAGAAATCTCGGGCAATCTAGTGTTAAACTCATATTTTTATTTCACATTTTTTCGTATTACCTATTCCAAGTTAAATATGGAATATTTAATGGAATATCGCTGGTGGATACAGTATACGTAATGTCTTCACAGGATGGAAGACAATCGCAAGTTATGCAGCAAGATTCTACTGAAATCTTCGTATTGTGAAATGGTACCATCAGTTTTTCGTTTCTAGGCTTCAGATTTAACCATCTCTCTTTAATATGAATATGTAATTGAAATAAATTTAAAAAATTAACAAACATATATATATATATATAATATACACACGAAGAAATTTTATTTATAAACCTTTATATTTTTTCATACACATTAGATCTTTGAGATTGCATTTTCTTATATCACCTGAAGAAAAACACCCAAATGAATGAATTTAAATATTTGTTATTTATATTTATTAATAAATATTTTCTTACCCATATCGGAAGTAACCGGATAAAAGAAAGGAACGCATTTGCAAAAGGAAATAATATCTCGTGTACGACAATAAGATAAACAATCCGTATATGAATAATATCCCCCGAACGTGTGTGATTGTTCCGTGCTAAATAAACAATCTCTTTCTTTTATATCATAATTTATAACATCCTGTAAATAAAAATCCATCCATTTATTTAGAATTTCGATCTTATTAATAATCAACTTACTGGTATAGAATAAAAAGAGACAGCGTCTAAATTTAAGAACATTTCTACTTTCGGTGGAACGAAGATTTCTCGTACTCCACCATTGAGTGCATTAGGATAATCAAGAGATGAATACACCAATATCTACAACAAAATTATATATTAAATTTGTATTAAAAAAATTCTAAAATGTAATGTACAATTTTTACTGAATTTTATTTTTATTAACATACCTTGAAACCCTGTATTGGTAAAAGTTTGTAAGCATAATCATATAACTGAGGATTTAATAGTACAGATAATCCATATTCTGAACCAGCTTCTTTAGAACGTTTGATCGTTTGAGATGTAAATATAAAAGAATCTTTGCTGTATATAAATTAAATATTTTGTAAATATTAATTTTAATTTTATAAAAAGAATATATTAAAATAAATTAAATTAACTTATGTAAACCAACGCGTCGTGCAGAATTAAAGGTACAACAGTAGCCATTGTTCGTTATTCTTAGAACAAAAATTTCATTGCAATCTTGATCTTTGCCATTCCAAGAACATTGCCATAAAATTGATCTACATTTTGGTAATAGCTACGATAAAAATGAAAAAAATAAGAGTATACATTAAAACTTTACATTTATGTAAATAATATTAATTTTAATACCCTTTTCATTAGTCTGTCAACATTGTAGTCGTTGTATCCTCGTTCAAGTATAGTGTGCAACAAATAAATTTCTTCTAACTCATCCTCATCGATATCAAAGTGATAAAGATTTCCCAAAGTTGTTATCAGATTAGTCAATTTTTCCACAGTTAAATTAACACTGTATTTTATTGTTTTAAATTCTAAACTATAATTTAAATAATGAAGTAATTTTTATATAAATTATTAAATAATTTAACAACAACTAGATCATTTTAATTTAATCATAACATACAGTTCTTCCGCAAGATCGATAGCAGATATTAAACTTATTTTATTAATATTGCAAATAGATATCGCTGGATAATTAATTTCTTGCATAGGATATTTATTGGTTTCCACAGTGGTCACTGTAGGACTATCTTGAAATTCCAAAGTCGTGTTGAGAATTAGAAAAGACATGCCGATTATTGTCACTATGCGAACAATTAAATAAACAACCCTAGACATATTTTTGATTAGTAAAAATATTTAATTAATGATCATACAAAATAAAATGTATAGTAATTAAAAAGCCCCATATATACTTTTCTACAGGACGTTGATAAAAACGTAGATTATTCGTGTAATTCAAATTGATGATACTTTCGAATAACAAATCTATAATTGTTTTCTTAATAACAGATAAACTTTTGAACAATTTTAACTTATGAAGAATTTCAATAAGTTTCCATTTCTTTTTAGTTAAATTAAGTACTTTCATGATGCGTTAAAAGCAAAGTGGTTTCTCTTAAACGAATCGTTGAACTTCTTGAATGAGTTGTTTAACTGATTGTGAGCTTCTCTCGTTACTTTTTATTTATATAAAATTAATAGAAATATGAGATACAACATTGTGAGTAAATTTCATATTTGCGTGTATTAAAACAATTAATTATAAACAAAATAAAGCAGAAGAAAAGAAAGATTTGGTCACGCAAATAACTTTCTAAAATTCATTCATATGGGTTGTTACTGTAATCGTTTATTTTATTATTAATGGTTCATATCACTTACAATGTCCCCATTTGAAAATCGAGTTACAAGAGTCTCGATCGATTTTCGAGATAAAAGGACGCAAGAAGGAGTCTCTTTCGTTGATTCAAACTTTTCTTTTGATCATATTTAAATATATGTATCGATAAATTCGCTCTCTCGTGTCCTAAAGACAACTTTTCATAATAACTCGCCTTTTCGATTTGGAATAGAAATCGTGTAGAACCCAAAATGTTAGAGATAAATTAAAATTAAATTACATATTACAGAATCTAATTAAATTATTACACAGCGAATGATCGATAATTTTGTAAATTTCATGATACCTTAGTACGATAAAAAAATACGATTGAAAACTTAATGATTAAACAAAAGAAAAGTGAATAAGAAACGCATAATCAATTTTATAACGACATTTTATCTATTTTGTTCATTTTCTTATTCGTTTTCTTTCTTTTTTTTTTTTTTTTTTTAAATATATATGTTTACAGCAACAAAACGCGTATCTTTGTGAAATCAGCACGATTAGATGATCTTGAACTAACGAACTTATTTAGTCTTAAACGATTCGTATAAAAAGAAAGGCACGATATTTTGTTATTTTTTAAGGATCACCGATGGTTGTTTGTCACTGTCTGCATGTAAGTATTACATTTGTAAATACATTACATACATAGTATTACATGTATATTTAATTACGAGTTTTAAACGTAATCGTAGTTATATCGGTGCCATTGGACGAATGCATACACATATATATTATTACATGTACAGTAGAACTTCCAGTATTCGAATAAATTGATAGACATAACTATTTTGGATGAAGAAATTTTCTCTTATAGTAAAACATTAATTACATTCTAACAATTATCGCTTTATTTTCACCACTTTTTAATTTATAGAATATTTTTTATATTGTTTTAACACTTGATACCACACAACTCTTTTTCGATGCCATTAGACGTGAGTTGAAAAAAGCATTAAATATCAATTTCATATTGGAACAATAAGATACAATATTATATTAAACAGTCGTTAATTATTTGTTTTCATAATAAATGATACAATTAGAAATATATATACAGTGTTCGGATAATAAAGTGTTTTGCTAGTGGACCACGCGAATAGTAGAATGTTCGAATACTAGATCATTGAATACTGGAGCTTCCACTGTATTTGTCTGTCAATTGAAATCACCAAAATGAATTCACTGAGAGATATGTACAAGAACAATATTTGTCACATACATATTTATATATATTCATTTGTATTAAAGTCTAATCGTGCTGCCTGAATTCTTTTTTTTTTTCACAGATTATTTCATTCTTCCAAATATTTATTATTCTTTAACAAATATGAGTGTTAGAAAGATCGTGTATTGTGCTTGTTCTTTTTTTTCTTTTTTTTTTTAAATACATATCCTTTTGGAAAAGGCGATGAGATCGTTAATCGTTGAATTATTATCATGATAATCGTTTGAAATCGACAATAGGTGATTAAAACCCTTTGCACTCTTACATGTACTGTCATTTTATGGCTAATTGTAAGTTGTTCGAAATTCCTCCTACTTATCTCATTCGTAGATAAACATGTATATGTTTGATATTAATGGTATATACTAGAAAGTTTTACCATTTAGAACACATATGTTTATAGTTCAAAACTTAATATTCTTTTTTCTTTCCTTGTAAATAGATTTGTGTGATCTGGTTATCATGAAAATGATCGTATTTTTTAAATTTCATTTTTACAAATATTGTAAATTGTCATATTTCTCGTTTATTAAAATATTTCAAGATATTTTCGTTTGAATTATTTGAAAATTATTATTTTTTTTTTCTTTTTTTATAACAAGAAGTACAAAATAAAGTGAATATATTTTTATTCATAAGAAAAATAGTTTTTATGTCCTTTGAAAATTTTGTAAAAAGTGTATAATATGACAAGATATTAAAGAACGATATTTTTAATGAATTTTAAATCATTTTCATAATCACCAGTTCATATACGGATATCGATATAGTTATATATAACTTTTTATACTATATTGATAATTGAAATATTTTGATTTTTCGTTGAGTGAGAGAAGAATAATTGTCGTAAGAAAATAAATGAGTACAAAGGGTCGTGTCTTGGATATTTTTCACGAGAGGTAAAGGTTTTTTTTTTTCTTCTCCAAATATTTAAAACACGACGAAAATGCGTAGAATCGCGTAATGAATTATTTTGATGTTTTATTCGTCGATCAAAGATATTTGATTGCTGAAAAATTACTTATATGCGTGTCGAATATCTTTATATCTTACGATTTAAATTACATATTCGATTATTTGCGTTTTATTTTTATATGATAATCTCATGTTGAATCAGACGCTCGCAAAAAGTGAGTATAACACGTTCGCACACGTTATATTAATATTTTTCTCCTCTTCATTTTCATACTTTGTTATTTAATAATATATTATTTATTTTAACAATTCAAAAGATACTTTTTTATCTTATTGCGAAATTTAATGAAAATTATATATCAAACATTCATAAAAAGAGAGATAGAGAGAGAGATAAAGAGAGATCTCAGAATGTAAGTAGAAAAATGTCTATATCTCACCAATATTATTACTATTATTATTAATATTATTATTATTATTATTATTTAATATTATTATTAATTTTCATATACCGAATAAGTTAACAATTTCGTTGTATAGATCAACGAGTATACGAATTTTCTTATAATTAAAATTGTCTTGTAAGCTAATGAGATATATCATTCATATTAGAAGAAACGTGTAAGTATTTGATTTTATTGCGTGTTACACCCACGTATATCTTCAAAAATTGCTTTTCAATAATGTGCTTTAATCAACATAGCACAATTTTATTATTTATAAAAGCAGGATCGATTTATGAGATTGATATTAATTTATATACCGTTACTCCCAAGTAATTTAATATTTTAATATAACAAATTTGTATTTCTTTTTACACATTTTATGTAAATCAAGAAAAAAGTAGATACATATTTTAATCTCATAAGTCGAACCACTAACAGTCCTTGTTTTTAACAGTTTTTTTTTTGTTTAATAATTTTAACATTCGAAATTTTTCCTAAGATATATATATGTATATATAATTTCAATATAATCGAATAGTAAATAGTAAATAACGTATGCGTTCCAAAACACACACACCTATAATGCACATTAATGCTATTATTATAACTTCATCAGTGCTTATATGCTTTAATATTCCACATTTGGGCATATATAATAATAAAATCATGTATCATATATGACTAGTCCTATTCGAATTAATATATATGATACTGAACCAATTTACCTAGTTGATTGTGATATTATTGAAGAAATTATTGTAGCTATTACATGTATATAAGTATATTTACAAATTACCATATTGCCATATTTATATTATTACGTTAAAGAGAAAGAAATTTTATTAGCAATAAATATTGTCTTTTTAAATAAAGTAAGAACATAAATATTGCACTTGTGTGGTAAGAAAGAAAAAATGTTTGTCTAAAACTCAATATTCTAAAAAATATACAATTTGTCCAGCGGCGCATTATCTTATGGACAAAAAGAGCAATTGCCTGTCGGTCCTCCCCATCGACAGAGAGCCCTCCCCAATGTCATACATGTAATTTTGTTTTATTTGTAATCAAATTATATCTACAATTATTATCATTATTTAACTTATTGCATGGGTAAGAGTATACGAGAGATATGATATTTCTTCTCGAAGACAAATTCAACCCTATTTATAGACTCCTAAATTCTAATTTGCTATGAGATTCTATGAAGCTATAATGCGCCACTGATTTTATTGCATTGCAATATTTATAAATGTATTACACGTATAATATAAATGGCATGGCACTTAATTTCTTTAAATATACAAATAGATTAATATTATGTACAAATGAACATTTACAAACTCTTTTGAGAAACTATTATGGATACTAAGAAACCAGTGTCTCAAGTTGAGAGTTTTGTTTTTACGTAATTGTGCTTAAATAATGACATATATTAAATATTAATTATTTCCTCAGAATATTACAATCATGCTTTTCGGAAGCACCAACAGCAAACATTATAAGTCACATCATTTCATAAATATAAATTAATTGGATGATGTAACTCACGTATTGGAGCATTAACTGTATTTTCTTTAACTATTCTTTCTACATTTGTACGTGACATTGATGAAATTTTATAACATTTTGTTATGTGTGATTTTAGAATAAAAAAACATTAGTGTTCCGATAATATATCTCAACTAGAAAATATAGTAAGTATATTAAACAATATATCATAGGATACTTATAAAGGAACGCTATGAAGTACTAAATAAAATAAAATAAAATAGAAGAAAAGAAAGGAAAAAAAAAGAAAATAAATAAAATTAAAATCAGACCACATTATTTAAAATGAGTAAAAATTGAATAGCACTTTAGTGTGTTAGAATATAATTGATATATATTCTAAGCAATGATTCCCAAGCTTTATCTTCTCTCATAAACACTTATAAGCTATACACAATATATTTTCGTCTATATAAACTAGGCAATTTTTTTAGATGCAGGTATCAAAGTTTCTTTAAATAGTTGCAATTGTACTAACGCAGATTGGCCTAGTTCCTTAGAACATATCTGCGTGATATGGTTCGCTTATAATGGTCCGTGAAGTCCGAGTCTGACGCAGTAGAAAGTGCGTGTTTATATAAGGCCCTAAATATATATATTTCAAAATACGTTTAAAAGTATCCGGCAGTAAAGACAATAAAGCTGAGAATGACAGTAGTGAAGTCAACACTAATTCTTATCTCTTTTTGTTATAATGTTATTTAATTTTAAATATTAGAAGAAAAAAAAAACGAAATCAAGAAGAAAACAAGGAGAAAACGAATTAAAACCGTCACACCTAATCCTAGCCCTGTTATTTCCTTAAATAAATAAAATTACATAAAAATTGTCTAACGCGTGTAATCTTTGATTTTTTGTCTTCTCTCTTTCTCTCTTTTTTATACATCACTTTAATGTTTAATAAATATTCGCAACGTTTACATGATTCCTGCTTAAAGCTTTCTAAAAGTTATTTAGTTTAAAAAATAATTCTAGTAGATATGAAATAAAACATTATAAGTACTAAAAATTAAAATTTCTAATGTACGACAACACTAAAAAGTGTTTACAACCATAAGAAATGTTAATAGTGTTTTATAATATTATACTACCGTTTTATAGCCAGCATAAAATGTATATGTAATAAACATTAATACAATAATTTCCTAAGTACAAATTAAGAAGTACAGATTTTCACTATGATCAAATAAAAAGATCTCATAAATAATGATATCTTCTTTTTTTTTCTATTTTTCTTTTTTTTTTTTTTTATATAAAAAGGCTTAACAACCGATACTTGTTATAGATTTACGGTTGACATTGTACCACCAAATAGGCACAAAAAATTGATGCCTACATTTAGTGATCTCATATAGCTTAGTTCACAGAAAAATACCAAAAGTGCTCAAGTAAAAATATGAATTCTCAAAAGTGTGCTTTATCTTAGAAATAAAATGTATAATGTGCATTTTAATGTGAACGTATTTAAATAGATTAAATAGCATTATTAGTATTATTAGCTGATAAAATATGAAAAAATGATTGTTCACTCACTCGCACGGTAATCAATCTAAAAGCTAAAGGATTTTGCAATATGCAAAATTCTTTTTCAAAGCTTTTCATGTTTATCCTTTGCGCTGTTTATGTTATAAATCCTGAATTCTCTAAAAAATAATGAGAATTCAAAGATTTATTGTACAAATTCGATTTACAACTAAAAATAAGATTTTCTATCTAAGATACTTAAGCTATAGCCTCATTTTATCGAATCGCATGCAGTACATACATCATATAATATATGTAACGTGCAATCGGCGTTTTAGATTATCTTAACACATAGTTTCGGAAGCTGGTGCTGGTACAGTACTCATATTTTTATCGCTCGGATCGGGTGATTCGGGATCTCTGATCGCAGGTGGCCTTGAGAGTGTTTGTTCTATTTCTCTAGTAACGCTGATCGTAGGAGGTGGTCTACGAGAATCTTCATCGATCGCGGAAGCTCTTCGCAATTGACGATGCTCGTGAGATATGGAAAAGAAGTTAGCAGAGACAGCACCTTCTTCAGCTGGATTACTGGATTCGTCGTCTTCCTCTTTGTAACGTCGTTGTATTAAATCTTCCATTTGTTGATAATCGCATTCCTCGGCATCTCGTAAATGTTCGTTCTCTATTTGCCAAGCCATCTCGGGATTATTAATTTCCGCCATATTTCTATTCCTCGATAATGGGGGTGAAACTGGTGGCGTTCTTGGTGGACTAAGAAGACCGCAATAACTTTCTAATTCGTCGGTTATACTAGTGTATTCCGCACGCATCGCTAAAAGAATGGATCTTTGAGTACTTCCAGCTGAAGTTACGGAAGATGGAATCACTGCAACGCGTGGTTCCGCCCAAGTAACACCTCTTTGGATATTTGGTGGAGGCATTAGTACTACGTCATCAGATTCTGAACGAGTTCTACTGTTCTGTCTGACTGGACGTTCGATTGAATCTTGTCTGGGTGGTTCTGAAGCTGGAGCTTCACTGCTAGCTTCTCTTTCTAATGATACTTCTTTTTTTATCGTTGATTCTGTACCACCTACTTCCTTACTAACTTCACTTTCTTGGCTCGTAGTAGTCTTGACGTCTTCTGGACCATTCTGAGGATCAATGATGCTTACCGACGAATCATTTCTAGTTAAATTTTCACGAGACGTTATTGTTTCTGAATTCTTCAAAACGTCGTCCTCCAAAGGTTGACCAATGTTTAAGAAAGTGGCGTCAGTTTGAGAACGCAAAAGTCGCTTACGCCGTAACACGAGACTAGGTAATTGAGTATGAGAATCAGCTTCTGAAAAAGCATCCGATCTTTCCGAAACTCTACGTTGACGGATGTCTATATCAAAAGTAGGAAGACCTTCGTTGGGCATATGAGTTGCCATGAAACGATGAATTACGCCAAGATGCGCTAAGGTTTGTTCACTTAATTCTTCCAATTTACGAATACGAAATTCGACGGCCTAGAAATTAAAGATCAAATTTTGAATACATATATTTCCTATAATTTGTACTAAACATCGATAGATTAATTTCAATTACCTGTAGAGAAGCATTTTGCGTATGCTCTTTCTTATTAATATCTTCTATTTTTTGATGCATATTTTCAACCCTTTCAGTAGTAATTTTAACACGTTCCTCAGTAGACATTTGTAATTTAAGTTCCTGTTCACGAAAATATCCCTCAACGCAATCCTCTTCAAAATCATATAAACGTTCTAAATCGTCAGCCTCAAGAAATAGTTTAAGACCGTTATCGCACGTTTCACCAGTACTTCGTTTACCTCTGGTAAGGTGTCTTAGTAAATATTTTACTAATAAATATACATGGCAAACCGCGATAAGTGGTGGAGGTAAGACTGGCTTTTGTTCATATTCCATCACAACCGTAAATCGTTGAAACATCCATACTTGATGTGCAACAGCATTGACTTCGTTGAATATATTATTGAAAACCGCAATCAATAAATTGATTAATAATATGTTAGCAACTAAAAGATACACGGACATAACTGCTGGTGTAATCCAACGACCTGGAAGACATTCTGGCATGCCTGGTTCATTTCCACAATCGGGATCTATATTGTCCGCATATACTTCTCCGTAAAGCATGAAATAAGGTTCCATAAAAATCTATAATCATAACAACAGAGGAAAAGTTAATGATCATGAAATAATTTTTTATAAATATTACAAAGATAAATATACATACATCACGGATTATTCGCCATTTAGGTTCTGCATTAGGATTTAATATAGCTTGTCTTGCCACTCCAAAGCTCATGAGAACAACTAGTAAAAGAACTACGAAATATATCATATTTTTTACCATTTTTCCCATCATTGTAACCAATGGACCTAGTCAACAACAATGAACACATTATTAATATTATATAAATAATAGCTTATGTTGTGTAATTAAAAATAGATAACTATAGATTACACATTTAAAATATTATTTTTTAAATAAGACGTACCTAAATATTTGTTAACTCCAAGAATATTAAGTATTCTCAAATACCAATAAATACAATCAACGCAGTATATAACTCGACCTACGTCAAAGGTCGAATGACGAAATCTCAAAGCAAGACCAATTTGAAAAAATATTATAGCAGCTGCATCGCAAGGATTCCACATGTTCCAAGCCCAAACGCTAAATTTGTGAGAGAGTGTTGCTGGCTCTGATGTTGCTATTTCACGTACTTTTTCGCATCCCAATGTGCAGATGTAAGATATCGCGTAAATCTCAGCTGCCGATGGGTTTTCACTCATTTGTACGAGTATACAGTAAGAAAATAAAAGTAAAAAGACAATATAAGCTATCTGAAAATGAAATATAGTCAAAAAATTACTGTTATATACAAATAAGAAATGAATAATTGTTTATACAGATATAAAAAAATATATAATAATTTTTTAAAAGGACTCATATTAACAATGCCGTTGAAAACAAATTTTTCTTTCAATTTACTTACAGCATTGGCCCAAAATTTGGTAATTGGTGCAGTATAAAATTCATATAATTTTTTCTTTAATCGTAACGGTCTAGTGGTTTTGTTGTCGTAGTAGTCTGAACGAATGCCATACGCTCGATGAGTTCCTTCATCGTTATCTGTTAATACTTTGCCATTTTCTTGAACAATTGTTTCTTTTACAATCGTCGTCGAATGTTCACTGCTAATTAAAGCCTACACACAAAGCACATTAAATGTGAGAAATTTCAATTATTTTTTTTTTTACGAAATAAAACATTACATATTTCATGATAATAATTGTATAGATAATTTTTTTTTTCTGTTTTATTTTTTTCGTTGACAAAGTAGCGAGGCTCATATGAAAGTTTGACATATGAATGAACAAAAATTACATAAAATGTTCAATGAACAATACTTAAAAACAAATACAACATATGAAGCTATTAATAATATGCATTCATGATTTTAAAATAGAAGATAAATAAGATGACAAATTACATTCGAAGATTAGAAAGTTATCTAAAATAATAGACAATATACTTAGATGTTGATTTAATATGCAAGGTATGAAGGGTGGTGACAGAAATGTGACACAAAACATATTTTCAGAAATTGAGAATAAGAGACAAATAAATGAAACATTTCACATTTCAATTTCATATAATAAATAGCAATGGATAGATTATTTAAAATAATATTATTCTATTTATAATGAATTCTTATGTATAAAAAAACATTTTTAAAGGAAACAAGATTTATTCAAAAAAAGGCTTCATTAAAATATAAAACTCATTTGTAAAATAGTAAAACGAAGTATTTAGTTACATTAAGCATGCTAAGAGTACTCTCCAATTTTACCTAGCAGTTAGCAGTTTAGTCATTTGATAATTATAAAAGAAATTTTGAACTCATAACAAGGAAGCTTGGAAAAAAAATCTAAACAATTGTAAAATCTTACTCACATTTGAGAATAACAAAAAATGGAACAGAGTGCAAAATCATTTTGATTTCACATAATATCATAAGGCTATACATTTTTAATTAATATTAATTTTAAGATAATTATTTTCTCCTTCTTAATTTCAAGTGTAGTATGCAAGTACCAATCCACATAATTTCCTTTAATTTTTAATCAGATGTTTTCATCGCATGTACATTTTGTTTCTTATTAGAAGAAAAAATGTATTGGACAAACAATTGATTGGAAGACAGCATAACAGCGGATAAAATTATGCTTGACAATATGAAGGAACATATAAACAGAAGCAGCCAGAAGGTGCATCAGAAGGTGCATAATTGTTTCAGAGAGAGAAAGAGAGAAAGATAGAAAGAGAGAATCACTGCGCTCAGGTTAGTATAAATATACCTTAATGCCTTGATGGCTGCTGCATTTGTTGCGTATGCTGAGGCTCCTGCGCAGATGTTTCTAAAAAATAATTATTATGCATACCCACACGGTCTACGTATTAACACAACTGATGAGAGTACCCTCTTAAGTTTGTTTTAATAACATATTTTTTTTTTTTTCAAGCGCTTAGAAAATAGAAATACACTGAAAATAATACAATTACTCATTCAACATAATTTCTATACTCTACTACACATTAATAATACTGCCTATGTATATATAATGATAATAATAATAATAATAATAATAATAATAATAATAATAATAATAATAATAATAATAATAATAATAATAATAATAATAATAATNTAATAATAATAATAATAATAATAATAATAATAATAATAATAATAATAATAATAATAATAATAATAATAATAATAATAATAATAATAATAATATATGCTATGAGCAATATGAATAACAAGAAATATTACTCTTACTTTAATAAAACTAAATTTGATATATTACCTTCATTTGAGACATTGTTTTCAAGAAAGTTTACAAATTCTTATGGCTCATCAGACAATTTTACAACACAACATTCCAATTAATACATTCCAAATCGCTCATATCAGGCATTAGTGACATTTGGAATAAATATTATTAAAGTTAACAAATTGATTATTAAATTATAAGTGAGAATAAAATTTATTAATTAAGAATATCACTTTTGGAAAGTATTAAAGCCAAAATAATTTACAAAATAAAATTTATAAATAATGTTGTATTTCTTATTTATTTAAATGATGAATTGTGTAAAGCGATATTGGACCATTTATTCTGACTGTGGTGTAAATATCTAGTTATGAATAAAATTAACTTATACCACTTTCATAATAAACGGTTCAATTTAATGATTAAAAAAAGGTATATTCATAAATCTATATTAGTGAGTAACATTTCGATAATACGAGATATTATTTTGCCTTGTGAAGGAAAGATTTACCTTTCCTTATTTGAATAATAAATTAAAGAAATGATTAAAAAAAATAAGTATAACTTAATGTTATTATAGTGCTACTTTAGTTATAAGCAATAATGTATTTTTGTAAATGCCAAGCTTACAGAAGCTACGTGTGCATCCTGTATAATATTGTAATTTTAAAAACCAGCCACCAATGTTCTGAGTTCATAATTAGTAAGAAACAACAAATATTTTAAAGAAAAAAGATATTTCTCTCTTGAAAAATACCATTATTTTTATGATCACATTATGGTAGAATATAACTATTTCCTTTATAAATGTTAATAATATATATGTGAAAAAAATATCTACATTTTGATTTCATGTTTAAAAATGATTAAAAAATGAAAGTTAATTTTATTTTATGAATGATATATATCCTTTCATTTTCGAACTATTTATATAATAAGAAATATATATAAATATATGAGATAAATATGTAAAAATGCATAAACATACTTTCGATAAGACACTTAGTCACACAGTCATAAGAAATGACTTGGACACAAGGTACTTCAATAAATTTATTTTATATTTACCTCAACATCCGGACCATTCGATGCACCATGTTCTGAATCACTATCTTCCTTTTCATCTTCAAGAGCAATCAAATGTTCTTCTTGGGTTTGCGGCATTAATTGTAATTCTTCTCGACTTTTAAATTCCAGTCGTGATATATAAACGGGAAACAGTAAGCCAAGAACAACCTTTGTATAAAAATACAAGTTAAACATTTTTTTTTTAATGAAAATTTTTATTATAGAACTGTTAATTAAATTCATTTTCATAATCACCTTTAAATTTGTATTTTTACGAGTACGAAGACCACCCATCCATAAATCCGCTAAAATGATTTGACTACAAGGATGAGCTAAAAGTGGACGATGATTAGCAGTAACTGCAAGTGATAAACAAGTTTGACCAGACCAATTTTGAAGTTCGGATGTCAATAATTGTTGTGTTTGATCATCGTCTTGACGATAACAATAGTCCAATAATTCCAGAGCTATTTCAATGATAAAATATATATTATTAACAATTTTTCATATTACTTATTTTTTTATTCTAAATAAAATTTAATCAATCGTACCAATATTTTCAAATTCTTTTCCGTAACCACGTAATTCGTCATAAACTTCTGTTTCAAGATCATCCTCAGCAGCTTCGTGAGCCATTGCTTTGTACAATTTTAAAGCAACAAGTGCTTTAGCTAAAGCTTCTTCTCCGTGTTGCCACATCAACAATGCCATTTGTTGTCTTTTAGTCAATACTGCCCAAATAAGTAACTCGTTGAAAGGATAATCAAAAAGTGGTGTATCTCGATTAGCAGGAACAGTTTCGGCGAGCAAACTCATTGTCAAGCTGTCTGATTTATTACCAGATCCTGAATAATAACGAGTAGCAGAACTTAAAGCACAACTATTCCTATGCATATGTTGTTGTTGCCCACCAGATCTTTTCATTACTTTGGTATAAATAACACGAAACCTTCTACGTGTATATTGTGCACGATAAGCTCCACCCATGAGTTTGTTGATTACTAATCCAATATCGTGTAAGGTATACATGTATCCACGTGGAATATTAGGCCTTACATCTCGCAAAATATAGCCTAATGTATTCGAAGGACCTTCTTTCTAATTAACCAAACAATAAATAAATCTTGACATGTATAAATGTTAATTGCAATAATAAAGTAGAATGATAGAAGACTTACTGTGTTATAGAGTTCTTCCAAACGTGGTATAGATAAGAATTTTCTCATGGATACACCATTTTCTAAAAGTAATTTAACGAAATCGATTCTGTCATGTTGTAAAGCTTGCATCATAGCTTGTTCTAAAGCACCCGGTGGCCATTTCTGACCATATACAAAAATTTCACTACGAGCTATGTCAACTCTATTCCATATTAAAGACAACGATAATTGTTCGGCTGGAGATAATTGTTTAGATTTGAATAATGCTGTTAATATTGTTTGATCCAATTCTTGTGGTCGATCTTGCGTTATCCTGAATACAGTTATCTGTAAATAATATTTTATTTTAATTATACTTGTAATCGAGTCTTGTTATGAAAAACTAAATTTTATTGAGTGTCTTACCAAATGTTTTTTACGAGTACATTGAAGTAATTCAGAATATAATTGATTAGTTTGTTCAGCAGAAACTTTAAAAGTGCGTTTGATAGTATCCAGGAGATGTTCTCTCATACTTTCCAACGGTCCTTCACCCTCTCCCGCTTCACTATCTCCTTCACTGGCATATCTGTGAAATCAAATGTATTTTTATAGATGAAATCATATTTTTGGATTAGTTTTTTTTAAGCTTCTTACTTGTGCATAAAAGCGATGAGATCAGCTGCACGTCCCGATCCATCGCAAACAACAACAGGAACTGGAGGAACATCAGTAACGTATTCTAATACCGAGCGTATCGTGTTTGTTCCTCCTTCAATTACTAATGCTACTACAGGTATGCTACTGTGTGTATCTGTAAAAATAATTTTTTATTATAAAATGATAAGTGTACATAAACATATATATTACTGTATATTATTTTATTACTAAAATATGAAATAAGCATATTTCTATCGTACTAGGACTCACACGGCTGTAGTTTTAAATTAGATATATATTTTTCTAATTTCCTACGCAACACGATCTCTGCTCCATATCGACCTTCGGTACCATTATCCACCAATAGAAAGTAAGCATGTCGGTTATTCAAAACTGTATATTTTGTCCTACAAAAAAATAAAAAGATCTATTAATATACAATTAAAAAATAATTTGTGTAGTAAAGAAAATGATTTTTTACCAAGGAGAAGAAACGCAATCGTATGGTACTTCTTCACCGCGTCCTATTAATTCATGATTTTTATCTAAGACCCCCCATGGAGCTATACCTATGCTTACTACTCGACCTTGTCGTTGCGATCGTTCTAACAATAAAGCATCACCAACTTGACGCGTGACTCCTAAAATATCAATATAAAATATTATTAAAATTATTCATTTCTTTATGAATCACCATTAAAAAGTATAACAAACCTGTGTTTGTTCCTCCAGTAAAAATCCAGGCTCCAGTTGTTTTAGCAGCTTTCAACAAACCTTTGCGTAAAACTTTTTTCAGACTTGGCTGTAATTCGAAGTTCGGTCGACCACCGTGAACCGTAATCAATAATTTAGGTAATCCCAAATTCCATTCTCGACATAATAATTGTACTATGGGTTCTGGTCGAGTATCGTGAGATAATCTTACATACTAAAAATAAATTTGATAAATATATTGTTGTAGTATTATAAAAATATATTCAATATTTGTTTAGAAATTTGCTGTATACCTGTGCTTTAGTTGGATGTGGTCCACCTTGAAATTCGATAGTACCATATGCATCGGTTGGATAAGTATGTGTATTTTTTCCTGGTGACCATTGTTCACGTTCTTTTTCTATGGAACCAGTGTTGGCATAACTTTGAACATCTGCACCAGTTCCGCAATGGTAAGTATAAGAGTAACCACAGCAACATCTGTAATTGTAAATTATAGTTAATTGTCTTTATAAGCAATTGATCACCTATTTCACTGAGAAGTTCTCAAAGAATATATTTAATATTTGGGGCTATTAAGATTTGATATGTCTTATCAAATTCATGTAATTTTCTTACTTGACGATAATTTCAATACACGCTGTTATATTGTATTTAATAATTATCTGCGTATGCTATAAAGTATGACATTCCCATAATACTTTCAGCATTTTCTCAACTAGATAACAAATATAAGATGATCAAAATTTAATTTGATGAAAGAAACAAGCGATGCAAATATTTGTAATCAATGTCACTCACCAAATGTAAAGCAAAGTATAAAGTAAAAAAATAAAAGGAAAATAAATATCATGAATGAATTTATATTTGTAACAAAATTTAATGTACGAATGAAGTATTAATGCGTTTGAAAATGAATTGTATGATCGAAAGAAAGCAGTGTACGAAATGATGATTAAAGCAGAATGCACTATGAAATCTCACCTGGACGAAGTGATCACATCGTATTCTGCATTCTTATCTCCCTGTACTTCTGTGAACCTATAAACGGAATGAAATCAGGAAAAATAAATCAAATGGAAATGAATATACAAGAACACAATATTGAACATAAATAAATGAAGAAACTATAAGTTAAATATACCACAACATAACGTAATATAAATTAATTTTTTTTTTTAATTAAATAAATATAACAACACAAATGGAACGCACTGTTAATTGTTAGTTAAATAAATTATAAAATAAAATTTATTGATATATATTGAAAAGATAATAAGAAAATATTTTCTAATGCTACTGTGCATTGAAATGAAATATGTTAAAAATAAAAGATGTGTGTGCATGAAAAATCTATGATGTTTTGAAAATTTCTAAAAACACAATTAACCAAGGAAACTACTGAAGCAGTTAGTAACAGCCAAGATGATGTAACACATTCTCTATTTCCCATTTATTATTCTTTCTTAGATAGAACAATTACGCAAATGATAATAAAATCTTTTGTTCGAAGAATAAAATATTTCAATCTATGATTAGTTATAACATCGACTTTAAAAAGGAATTAGATTAAATATAAAAATACACACTGAATAGCACACGCCACACATTTTCATTTAAAATACAATCTATTAAATTCTTAATTAAAATAGTGGTATAGTTTACTCTAAATCATATTAGAGTGTATTATCTTATATGATATATACATACTTACAAAATATCTCAATGTTTTATAAGAAAAATATATTTTATAATAGATTAAAAATACATTACAGCCCACATAATTTTTCTTTTTTTTTTTTATAAATAAATAAATAGATCAATTTTCTTTTTCTTCCTATCTTTTATTAAAGGTGTTCCTTTATCCACTACTTGGAGATGCGCCACGTGGAGGTTATAGTCTCCTTCCGTGGACAGCCCCAAATAGTAATAATAATAATAATAATAATACATTACTATCAAATTAAATAATATTATATACTATTAAAGTGGTTTTCATTTTTGAGAACTCTCAAATTAATATTTATAATTATCAAATTATAACCACAATACCAATGTTTATAGATAGAATTATTATATGTATACAATAAATATTTCACTTGCAATTAATTATAAATATAATATATTTATAATTATTTAATACATATACTAAAATAGTGTGTGTATATTCTTACCTATGTTCATCTTTAGCACTTGGAATGAACTTGGAACATTCTCTTTTTTGAAAAGCTGCTTCTATCCAACTGCGTTCGGTTGCCTGCAAAATGAAATACAAAGATATAATATAAACACGATACGATGATTTAAACCTTAACATATATTTTATTTTTATTATAATATATAAATATAGAATAAAATCAATAATTTTTTTATTCTCTAGTCTTGAATAATTTATAACATGGCAATAGAGTACTCAGAGATAAAATACCTGAAGTAAATCCTTGTTTAACAATATGAATGTAAAAAATAAATAAAAATAAAATAAAATGATGATAAAAATTAAAAAAAGAAAAAAAAAGAAAAATCCATATTATACCTTTTCCTTTTTTTTCTTGACTTTAGGAGTATTCGCACCGCAGATTACATTTCCAATTGCCATGATGATACATGGAAACGTAACTCTTGTGATCACTAAATCTAATCAGTCTATAAATTTGACAATACAGATCTAATTTATAAATAAATAATTAAAACATATTTAACATTAAATCAATTGAAACGTAAACAAAACAGGACAATCATACACATAAATTATAAAAACACAAAATAACAATGTAAAAGCAACAATTACAAAAAAAAGAGTATGAATGCGATTAGAAAAAAGAATAAATATCTTTTCTCAAATTATTGTCGAAATGTAATTAAGAATATTTACTAGAGCTAGTAATCATGAATTACTAACACACATGCCATAAAGATAAGATAAATTAAAAGATAAGAATAATAGAGACTTTTGATGAAAGTACAATACTTCAGGAAAGATATTTCTTGCCATTTGAATACGAATAAATTTATATTACTATATTAATCTAATTATACATATTTATATATA